AGTTTAAAGTTTGATTGAATATTATAAATTTTATTTGAGGTTAACTTTTTATAACAATTACATATGTATGTATGCTTTTAAATTTCGCTAATGAAAGAAAATTTAATGTTGAAATATGTGCAAGCATACATTCTTACATATGTATGTATGTGCATAACATTTGAATAACATACATATTGATAATTCAATAAAAATGTTAACCTTCATTCAAACAATTATTACGTACATACATAATATATAATATGTAAGAAGAATATTACTTAAGTCTAAGAATAATTAAATAGTATTACCAGATTACCGAAATGAAAATCTAAAAATATACATACATACATATGTATGTATAAAGGAGATATAACTTTTTTTTTAAACACAATGATTCTTTAAATTTTAATATTTGTGAATAAAAAAGTTTTTTGATTTTTATTATTTGCTACCTGTTATATTTTATAACTCATAAAGAAAAATAAAAGAGAAAAAGAACACCACCTTCACAAAGAATTTTATAGATTTTTTCCTTATTTTACAATAAAATAAGGATATTTTGCAATTAAACTCGCATATTTTATTTTTGGACTTTTAATAATATGGTGACTTTAAATTAATATTAAAATAGGGAAAAGGTAAAAGTTTAAACTTTCTTTTTAGCATTAATCGTACGTAATCAAAATTAAACAGAAAAATTGTTTGCATCTTTAGTTTTTTATAGAAGGGTTGACGCTGGTATTACACACATTTTAGATATATTCTTCCTTATGGATAAATATTGAAGAGAAATTTGTTTTTAAAAAATACTTATGAAAAGTGTTTATAAAAACAAAAATTTTACATCTGTGTGTGTACTTTAATTGTACTGTGTGTGTAAATGTGTAAATGTACATAATATAAATAAGAAAACTTTAATTTTTTATTATTTTTGTATGAAGCACACACACACACACAAACATAAATTAATTCAACAATTCAAACTTTACTAACAAGAGCTTTTTCAAAAATACCTAAAAACATATGCATAAGCTTTTTCTTAAAAGCAAAAATTAAACTTTATGCATAAAAATATATCTATGAATCTCGTTCTCTCGAAACAAAAAATAAAAAAAAATTGATATTTTCGTGTGCGAACTGTCACATTTGAAATTGAACTATTTACTTCGTATAGTTGACGGATCGAGTATGAAATAATATTACTTGAAATCGACTTGAGTTTGACACTTGTTTACAAGCATTGTTTATTAATTTGTCATTTTTAATCTTTCAATTCGCGTATATGCAACGGATTTTTGAAATTTTTAATTCAACTATAATAATATCGATGGAGATTCAGTTTAAGAACGTAATTATATAATAGTAATATGTTTTTTACAGAGAAATATGTAAATGCTATATACTTGTGTACATGCAAATGGAAATAAATTAAATTACTAATTAATAAAAGAAACATATTAGCATTATTCGAATCTAATTTTCAATTTCTATTCGAAAATAGAACTCATTGGTGCTCGTCTGACATTTCATATGTACATATATTTATAATCATTGATAATTTAAGATTATATTTTAAATAGAATAGTTTTAATTTTATCATTAAGAAACATTCATTTATAAATGTATGTTTATTGATTAAAAGTTCCCCTACTTCTGTATTGGGCTTACATTTGTCTGCATGTTGGTATTTATGAAGTACATACATATGTATATAATTAGGGATTTTTTTTATTTTGTGATTTTCAAATTTCGATATCGGGAGATATCGAAATAAGTGTGTATGAAACAATTTAAATTTAATACATTCTTATGGAGAATCATTATTAAAATAAGAAAAGCCAAATCACAACAATTCACAATTTACAATTTTTAAAAAAAAAATTCAAAAGTTCAGTATATTTTATGTCTCATCTTATAATGTGAAAATACATATTTACATACATGCATACATATTTCACATTTGAAATTTTGTTGATCAAAAATTTATTCGCCATTTTTCTAGACATAGCAATAATAAAGTCAAAATAAAAAATAGTTTATTTAAATAATTTTATGACTATAATAAAAATGAAAGAATTCAGAGTAAAAAAGTAATCCATGTCCAAGTCTAGATTCTTATTAACATTGTGATATTCCTTATGAAATAGTTATGCATACACACATATATGTGTTTACGTGTGTGCAATAATAGTGCTGATTTTTTAATATTATCGCTTTGAGTGAATAAATTGTCGTACATACATATGTATGTGGAGCTACAAATATGTTCAAATAATAGATGTACATACATACAAATTGTATTAAGTATAACAAAAATTTATTATTTAAAAAAATAAAAAACTAAATTTTATTCTAAAAAAAACTTAGAATTGCTTTATTTTCATTTATAATTGCTTAAGTTTGCATGTGTTGGAATGACATGAAATACATAAAGATTATTGTTGTTTTACACATAATATTTTATATATTATGCAAATTTATTGTATTTGTGTGAAACGTATGTTTACTTTAATTCATGCAGAGAATTTATAAAAATTTTGTTTTTTAAGATCAATTTTACAAAATTTACAATCATACATACATAATGTATGTCATTATAAGTACATATGTATTATTATTTTGTATGCAATATCGTGAAAGCGAAAAAGAAATTTTTTTTCCAATTAGGCACATTATAATATGTAGATACAGTATGTATGTATGTATGGATGTATAGAGACACATTTTGATAAGATATACGTAAGTAAATGTTATTTTTTTTAAATATTTGTGACAAAACAAAAAACAATTTTCAAATACAATTTATATCTACTATACACAATTCACATATGAATGTATGTACATATAGAACGTGCATGCACATACATTTATTACTTAGAAACAAAAATTTTACAAGTAAAAAAATAAAATCCTAGCTCTAATTTTATATTTTAAATTTTAAAATAACTTTAATTGAAGAAAGCTACTACAGCATTCAAGAATAATTATTTAAATTTTTAATTGCAAAGAATAATTCTTAAATAACATACATATACATGTAAGCTGGTATATACAAGAACACATGCAAATGTATGTTTATATTATTATTTATAGTTTTGAATTTTACAAAAATTTTAATAATTAAAACACTAGGTTGAACAACTAATATCTTTCATTTCACTGATTCTTAAACGAATTATTCATTTTTACTAACAGATTATGAAATCTTGTTCAATCATTCACTTCGCTCACCTCTCAGTCGTAGCTATGTATTTGCTTATGTATGTATGTATGTATGTAATTTTAATCTAAAATTTTTTAATAAAATATGTTCTAAAATTTATTGCATTCAATGGGCATAAGTACGTATGTGGGTATATTTTGTACGTTTGTAATTAAATTTCGTTATAATGTGTGGCAATAGAAAATTAATTATAAAAAAAAAATTATTGTTTTAAAAACAAATTACATATGTATGTAGGTAAATAACATATCTGTACAAGTAAAAAAATTATTTGAAAAACACAATTTAAATGCACAAATTTTCGGATCAACGCAATGGCATATGACTAAAAAAAGAAAATTTGGTACAATTATACACACATTCATACAAAGGTATGTTAGATATATGTATGTATATATTGAGCCTACACGCTTGTATATTTATACATACATATTTTATTATATATCCTGAATTTTTTTCTCCAAATTTACACTGCATATTTTGAATTTTTCAAAGTTAGATTATTAGAATTTAGGTATAATTCAAATTATTATGAATTGTAATTGTTTTATTATTATTTTTATATACATACATATGTACATAAATATTTTTCGGGTATAAATGTATGTACATACATATTTGTATGTTAATACTTTTAATCCTTGAATAGGAATTGAATAAGTGCAAACTTAAAATTATATATACATATTTAAAATATGTATGGATATATATGTAATTTATATGTCAGTATGTATGTATGTATGCTTTTATTCTTTTAATAGATTCCACAATACTATAGAAAAAATTTGTTATTATATTGTATTATACGCATAAAGGGTATACATCATATATGCACATATATATATGTATATATATATGTAGGCCCATACATATTTTTATAAATATAAAAATTTTATACCAACATAGCATGTACATACTACATCTAAATTCTATCTAAAAAAAAATTCAGCCATTCTACATATTATTATGTTTATGATTTACCTACCAAAAAAAATCACGATACATACATACACATGTACATATATTACATAATTAACTTGGAATATATTTATTATAGAATTTAAATTTGTTATTTGTTTTCTTTGACCGACCAACTTCATAACATAAATATTGTGTATTTTATATGCACCTACATTCATACATAATAATTATGTTATATATTATTTGTTATATATCATGTATATAAATATATGTATATACATACATGATATATGTATATCATTTTGCATAAATATAATAATGTCAATTATAGTATACATATTTATGTGTATGTACATTTATATTGTCATGTGTACCTTAATTTTAAATCAATGCATATCCATAATTTTCATACATATTATATACAGTATTCGATTATACTTTGTGGACATACATACATCCATATGCACGCATTATACAATATACATATGTAAATTTTTTTTTGTATATTTGCAATTTTACGTTCATACAATTAAACAAATTTTTTTTTCTTGTTATATTAATTTAGTTAAATGTAAATTAATTTAAATTTAGATAAAAATGCCAAAATATTATATTTAAATTGCAATAGAAATATAATTATATTAAAAAAAAAAAATTACACATATTTAAAACAACACGTATGTATGTTCATATGTGATCAAACAATAGAAAATTGAAATATGTACCTATGATATATATACGTATCATATATATATATATATATATCATAACTTGTATATAGAATGTATACGCTTGTTAGTTTGTATAAAACTTATGTCATATAATAATAATAATATAGAATAGAGAACAAAATAGAAAAATGTGGTCTACTTACAAGGTTCTCGTCGTTCTCACATTTGAAAAAAAAAAAACAAAAAATTAATTAAAGTTGTATTCTATTTTATTTTGTTTTATATATGTTTGTGTATTCCGTATCAATTAATAGAATTAGATTTTTTTAAATAATATATGTTTTTAACATTTAAATATGTGTATATATAATACGAGTATATATTATTAAAATATATGAGTATATAGTTGATTGGTTGTTTATTTTATAAAAATAACTCCTTGTTTCTATTAAAAAAAAAAAAGAGATGACAAATAAACAATTTCAGAATTTTACTTTATTTTTTGTTTTTTATTTTATTTTTTTTTTTATTTATAATTGTATCGTCACCACACCACCTTTGTGTACCAATATTGTAGAATGAAGCGAAATTTCACTTTATTTCAATGGTAATATACGAACATACATACATGTACAATAAGCGCATATGTATATGGATGTGACAAAAAAAAAAAAGAAAATTGTATTATAAATATTATATTATAAATTTTTTTTTCGCAATATTAATAATATATATATGTATGTAATATATGTATGTATATATTTAAACTTCTATAAAAATATAATATACTGCTTATATAAATTATGTGTATTATCAATATTTATTTTATTATTTTATAATCATTTTATATGTAGGTATTTTGATATTATAAGTAATTATATAAAAAAAAATTAATATTATAATTACATTTTCAATATGTATACATATATACAAATAAATGTTGATATCAAAGTATATATATTTATATATATATATATATATATATATATATATATATATATATATATATATATATATATATATATATATATATATATATATATATATGTATATATATATATATTATATACAATACGCAACTGAGAATTTTTATATTCATATTAAATAATAATAATATATTATTATTATTATTATTATTATTATTATAAATAAATGTATGTATATTCCCATTAATATACACACAGTGTATATCAGTTTGCTACAATTATTTAAGTTACGTTATACATAAATAATATTATTTGTATTAAAATATTATTATAATATTAATAACTTATGAATATAGGTATATACTCAATAAGTATATTATGTATATACATAAGTATGTCCATATAAAAAAGCCCTATATAATTTTGTAATACACAGATGATTTCATATCTATATAATAATTTATATGCATACATATTTACATATGTATTTAATTTACATATTATTATATTATAATTATATACTAGAGCTATTTCATTTTAACTTTATAAGTACATTATGCTATATTATACTACCTATTAGTATAACAAAACAAAAAAAAAAAATGCGCAAATATTGATTTAAAATACGCATTTAAAAAATCGATGTTATTAAATTAAAAAAAAAAAAATTATTATATTATTTTAAAAGAAAATATGTAAATTTAATTTCTAAATTTTTTTTTTTTGATTAAATAATAATATAGAGCTATTATATCGAAAATAAAAACTTGCATATACACACGTACATACATAAATATATATGTTTGTATAACAATAATAATATGAACTTACAAAATAAATTTTTTGTTTTTTTTTTTTTTTGCTTTAATTTTTTACTGATTCCTATTATTAAATATATATTTTGTTATTTACATATACATATGAATATATGCATAAATTCATGTTCTAATTTTCTTATTTAAAAAAATTTATTTTTTTTTTCTTTTTACAAATATAAATTGATATTTTTAAATAGTTTTTTTATTTTTTATATTACTTTTTTTTTTTTATTAATTGCACTTAGAACACTGTTATACTTAACGAAAGTTTTCACTAAACTGATTGTAATAAAATGAATTTGTGTTCGGAATTTTGCTCAGCGAGTTTTAGTATTGTAGCTTTTTTCAATAGTGCATGAAAAAATAATAATAACAAGAAAAAAAAAGAATAACATAATAATATGTATAATCTAAAATATACTATGAATATGCCTCTCTAAGTATGAACAAGTGTAGGTATAATAATACTTAAGTGGGTACATATACATTTATAAATAAAGTGGAAAAATTTTGTATTTAAAGTAGGTACATACCTATGCATGTATTATTCTTTCGATTCTTTATTTACATTTATATGAAAATATATACTATGAAAGTACATATACATATGTAAACAAAAAAAAAATCTAAAATTTTGTTTGATCGAAGATTTTCGAACCGATAGTATGTATATATAAAGTATACAGTTCGCAAATACATTTGTATATCGTTTTTTTTTTATAGTAAAAAATAAAATATAATATAATTGTACCGGTAAGCTATTGATACTTATATACAATTACATACACTTAAAAAAATAATTAAATTAATTTAATTATTTTCATTGATTTACTTACAATATTTTCGATATTAAAAAAGTTACAATAAAAAATTTTTTTTTTTTTCCATAATAATTTCACAAATAAACAACATGGTAAAAATAAGAATTTTTACTTCATTCCACAATCATTATTACGTAATAATTGAATTTTCATTTGGTTTGGATGTTAATTTAAAATTTTTTTTATTATATTCTAAGTACCTTATTTATACATGTATATATATGTATATATACATACATATATTTGCTAATAGGTAAATAATAACGATGGCAACTATCATTCCTTGCAAACATAAAATTTAAATATATGTACATATGTACGTAAATAAGTATATATAAGTATATCAATAAATATATACATAATTACGTGTATGTAACAAAACAATTTAAATATTATACGTTTGTATACAAATTGTAAAATTTTTAAAATTTGTTTCGAAAAACAATTTTTTTTTCCATACATACATATGTATATAACGTATATGTGCATATGTATTCACATAATTAAATAAAATTGAAATATTCTAATATTTAAATATGTTTAATGTATGTTCATACGAACATACATTGTACATGTACATTTAATTATGTTTATAAAAAAACGTTTTTGGATAGATAAAAAAGCGTTTGTGGTAGGACAAAAATTTATGTTGAAAAGGAATATTTAGCATATTTGCAGGCGCTTATATACTTGTCAAAGATAAATAATAATACATATTTAACGCAATGCAAATATACCTGTTTAAAAATATGTACTTATTTTTTCGAAAAAAAAAACTTTATAAGAAAATAAGTACGATATAATGTATGTATGTAAATCTGATAATTTTACAATTTAAAGGTACATTGTAAGTGTAGTGTGTGATGTTCTGCAACTTATTTTATAATTAACATAACATTCATATTGAAATTTACTTCAAATTGGTATTATTTTCGAATTTGATCAAAAGAAAAATTCTATTTATGTACATACACATCTATTTTTCTAAAAAAAAAAACGTCATAAGTTTTAATTTTTGACAACTTTTAAAACTTTCAAAAAATTCAAAATAAAATTTACTGCCGTTCTTTATTTTTTTTGCCGATTCTTCAATGACGACTAAATGACACGTAATATAAAGCGTTTCTCATATCATAGTCGATTATAATTTTGGAGGTGATCGTTCACACAATTCAAATATATGCATACATAAAATATATGTTAAATTAAATTCTTGACGATTTTTGCGCATGTAATATGATAAGTACGAGTGAGAAGTCAAACATTTCTTCTAGCAAGTGATCATATTGATATGCGCAGACATGTAGGTCGTTTTTAGGTGTATCTTTAGAAAAATGAACTTGGATTAAACGTTGATTAAATTTTCGGAACTTTAAAATTAGTTTTCAGAAATAATTTAAATAAAGCTTTAGTTTCATTAAGAAAAAAGTTTCATTTGTTTTTTTTTCTGTTTGCTTTTTATTTAATTTTCTATTTGGATTAAAGTGAAAATTGCCTTTTCAATGAATTTCATGTGATGTAAAAACATTATTTTGAACTGAATTTTAAAGTGAAAATTGTAAGTGAAAAATGTCAAATTATTGTAACATAAAATTTAGAAAAACCTTAGATTATTGACAATTCTGTTATGTGCGAAATATTTGTTGCAAAAATAGAAAAGATTTTTTCAATTGATCTCAACAGTTTAAGACTATTAATTTATGACGTTTATTTCCAAACTTCTTAAATAAATATATAAGATATTGTTGTAAAATAAGTTATAATTAATTATATTGTCACGTTACTGATTCCACCGTGATATCGCAATTTAAAAGAAATTGAAATATAATATACTTATATATATGTATATGATACGTATGTACAAACAAAACAAAATCAAGGAAAACAATTTTTTATATGGGTTGTATTTATATGCATACGTATGCATAAGTGTATGTATGAAAATATTTATGCATCTACTTACATTAGGCAATGCGAGATTCGATAGTAAAAAAGCAATGTCCAGGCCTCCTTTCTTTTTGGTATATTTAGTTGCTCTTGTACAAAAAACGACTACGCACACATACATTGCATAAGTGTATAAATAGATTAATTTTTTTGTTTTTGTTAAAAAATATTTTTGGTTTTTGATCACAGCGCAGAGCATTTTTACTTTTTTTTATATTATGTCAACAATTTTTACCAAAAAGCTTGCTGATAAAAGTACGGCATTTGTATTGCATCTACATTAATATTATATTAAATAATTACGTATGGGTGTTTGGTTTATAAAATATAAGTAAACATAATATTATCTATTTGTGTTGGTGTATTTATATATATGGATTTGTGCTCAACACAGTAACAATTTTAAGTTAGCTTAAATTAGTATTATGTAGAATCATTTGTGTAAGAATTTTGTTACAAAACAAATTCTTTTAAGAATAGTAAAACTATGTACATCAAATTAAAGGCATTCTTATCTTTAAAGTTTCATGAAGAAAGCTTTCGCGTGAAAAACTTTCGTGTTAAATTAAAACAATAAAGTTAATGTAGGAAATTGTATGTCAAAATTTGAGATAATATTTAATTGTCAACTCTATCAAAAGGTTTTTTCTTTACAAATCCGTTGCTTTGCTCTAGTAACATATTTTGCGAAAAAATTTAAAATTAATTTCATTTTCATATTGCATACACAAATATTTTATTTTTACTATTATATTTCTGATATTATCACATTAATAATGTGTGATATTGTGTTATATTTTGCAATTATAAGATTTTTGTTGTAAAAGCCTAGAGCTAAATCAGAAATAAAAAAAAATTGTTTTCTTATTTTTAAATTACAAATATGCACTTAGAAGTGCATGTAGTAAGTAACGTCTACGTGATGTTTTGAAACGTTATACTAATTTTGATTCTGTTCCAGCCCTTAATAGAAAGCTTTAAAATTTTTCGATATATTTTTTCGTGCAAATTTTGTTGTTGGTTGTATTATATGACAACAAAACAAATATGTAAATTTGTTGTTTTCAACATATGATTTTGAAGGTTAGTTTCTAATTAATTTATGTATATAGAGTAAGGTATATCTAAAGTTTGTTAAAAAAGGTGTCTGATAGTTTTAATATTTTTTAACATATTTATTTATTGCTTAAGTTTTGATAAAGTAATAGGAAAAGTAATATGGAAAATCATTTAACATATTTTTTAAAAGGAATTAGGGATTATTTGGAAACCTATATTGATTTGGATTACTCATTATGGCTGTATAGATTGTTACTTCCTTTGTTAATTACATTTTTACTGCCATTTATTTTTGTTGCTATGATTTATCTTTCGTTCCTAATATTAACTGTTTATAAAATACATAGAGAAATAATATTAAAATCTGTAACAAGTGATGAAAATTTTTGGAACATAGGAAGAAAAATTGTAGCTGTCTTATGGGACGCACATGCTCGAATATATCATGGTTATGAAGTGATTGGTCTAGAAAACTTACCAGAAAATGGAGCTGCATTAATTGTCTATTATCATGGAGCAATTCCCATAGATATGTACTATTTGTGTGCACGAGTTTTATTGCAAAAAAACCGGCTAATTTACACAGTTGCCGATAGATTTTTATTCAAGGTTCCAGGATGGGGCCTAATTTCAGATGTTTTTAAAGTTAGTCCTGGTACCATACAATCTTGTTCAAAAACTTTAAAAGAAGGTAATTTGCTAGCAATATCACCTGGAGGTGTTTATGAAGCCCAGTTTGGTGATCATTATTACGAATTATTATGGCAAAATAGATTGGGTTTTGCGAAAGTAGCAATCGATGCCAAGGCCGATATAATTCCATTTTTTACAGAAAATTTACGTGAAGGCTTTCGTCAAGTTGGAATATTAAGAAATTTTTTTATGAAACTTTATGCTAAAACTCGGATACCTGTTGTGCCAATATACGGAGGATTTCCTGTAAAATTTCGTTCATATTTAGGCAAACCAATTAAATATGATCCATTACTTACTCCAGAAGAATTACAACGAAAAGTTGCTTCACAATTAGAAGAACTCATTAATAAACATCAGAGATTACCTGGCTCAATTTTGAAGGCATTACTAGACAGATTTGTGAAGAGTAAAAGTAGTTAAAGATAGTTTACTGGAAAGTTGCATTAAGCTACGGTTTGAATATGTACTTAAAATTAATCGAATTTAGTGGAAAATTAACAAATAATATTTTTTTTGTCTTTCAACTTGAAATACAATTTTAAAACTATCAATTTAGACATAAGAAAAAACTTTCTGTGAAAATAAAGCAAATATGACAAAAAAAAAAAATCAATTTACTTAATATAATTTTTAAATAAAACTTTTCGCGTATGATTTCCCAATTTTATTCATTACAGATAGTCAAATCAGTAGTTTAGCAATAAATGTGTTCAAAATTAGAAACTACAATCTTTCAAAGAATATTTAACATAAGCATAAGTTCCTAATGAATATGCATAAGTACAACTAATGATAAAGAATATGTTTTTTGTCTTTCAACTTGTGGAAGAAACCATTTCCTTTTTTCCCGTTATTTTGTTTTTAAAAATATGGATTTTATATTGAATAATATACTATAAGAGTAAACCCGTTTTTGTATCACATAAAAACCAATATGTATGTAATATTTCCAAAGATCATTAATTGCTTATTGTTTTTCATTTGTTTCAGTCTCTCGGCATAATGTCACGCATACTATTAAGTACGTTGCTGCGTCATCTCAAGAGTTATGGTCTCAACCCTTATTCAAATCGTGCTCATCACTATATTCAAATGAATTATGCATATAACTTACGTTCCAAAAATGTATTGGACATGCAAAATAAATTAATATCACCTTTTCACAATTCTTTAAGAAGGAATTATGCCGCAAATTTAGATAAAAAAGAGGATTTGAAAAGTTTTGACGATTATTTTAAAGATTTAAGTTCTTACTATTTAACTCAAGGTTACGTTAATTATGAATTATTAGGGAAAGTAATAAACTCCCTGAATTCAACCAGATTGTCGGAGGAGCAAAGTAATTTCCTATTGGAGTCTATAAATGGGTTGTATACGATTTCACCAGAACAGCGTATGAAAAGTTTTAGACAACTTTGGGAATATTTTAAGACCAATAATTATTTAAATCAAGAGAAAATTCTGATAGCATTAAAAGTTTTCCAAAATAACAAGATAGATCTACATGAGGCAAAAATTTATTTAAACGATTTTAAAGATTTAAAAAAAGACTTAGGTATATATGAAGAATTGGTTCATTTAGCATGTGAAAGCGGTGATATAGAAAAAGCCGCAGCAGAAGTCTTGGCAGAAATGCGAGAAAACAATTTACCATTAACGCATAAAATTTTTAATTCATTAATAGCGGGTCACGCGAAAAATGGGAACATAACTGGCTGTGAAAGCGTACTTGATACAATGAATGCAGCCAATTTAGAACCATCTAAGGATACATTTTTTGAATTATTAATTGCTTATATAAATAACAAGTTAGAGAAAAAGGCAGAATCACTATTGGATAAGATATTGCATGTTTTGACTACAGATCAAATTTTGATGGTAATGTTAAAAAATAAAAAATAAGTTAGCAGGTAATATTTTATAAAAATTTATTTTCTTTCTTTTATAGCTTGTTAAAAGTGCAGCTTCTACAAGTTCTCCAGAACTTGCTAGATTAATTAAAAAACTACTGGAAGATGCAGGAAATATAACAGATTTACCAATGAATTTGAGAAGTGTGTGCGTAGAATTTATTTATGCTGACAAAGTTGATTCTGCTTTCCTTATTTTGGATAGTTTCCCCAATCCAAATAATGAAAATAGTGATACTGATAAATTTGGTCAATTTTTTGTTTTTGAATTGCTTAAAAGTGGCCAGTATTCTGACGAAAAGTGTATAGAAATTTGTCGAAAACTTATTGAAAGTGGTAAAAATGAAAGAGCCTTGCATATAGCATGCGAAGTAGTTTTAAGAAGAAATTGTCAGAAAGCTGAAACCTATCTAAAAGCGTTATCGAATGTCGAAAAATTGCGTCCACATTACTTTTGGCCTTTGCTAAACCACAATTTCAAAAAACGGGGGGAGATGGGAGTTTTTGAAACCTTAAAATTAATGTCAACCTTGTTGGTTCAGGCAGATTACGATACATTGCGACATCACTGTTTTCCTAGGCTTTCAATAATTTTCAAAAATATTGACGAAGCTGCGAAATTTTTAGAACAAACTGGTTTAAAATCATCAATTTTTTTACCTCCTCTATGTTCTTATTTAATTATTCAACAAAAACCGAATGACGTAATCAAATTAATTAATTTATATCCATCGAAAATAGATACTACGGAATTAATTCAACCTTTAGTTGATTTAGGTATAAATATGAAAATTAATAAACGATATGTAGAATATAGTAAAATCATAAAAAATTTAATTACGAAGTCAGAAAATAAAAATACTGATTTAGCTGGACAAGTGTTAACAGAAATGTGGTTCAACTCTAGATTTCGAAAAAACACAACCGGCTTTTTTGACATTGTGAAGCAATTTGAAGTCCAGGACGTTAAGATATCTAAAGCAGCTTTTGATCTCTTACATTCACAAATAATGAAATCAGAGGAAGTCGAAAAATCAGAAAATATTATCAAAAAACTGAAACAAATGTCTGAGAACCAACTTAGTCTAAATTTTACTGAACCATCTGACTCTATAACGAATCATCCCAGAGATATGAGTCTGGAACAGTTAGAGTGTCATTTAGTTGAGCTAGAGCAAAAAAAATTGAATACAAGAGGTAAAATTTATATTTTATTTATAATTTTATCGTAATTATTATTATATTTTGGACATATTTTTTATAATACGTATTTATAAATTTCTTATACAGAAGTATTTTAATTTAATTTTTATAGGCGTTTTAAGGAGACTGTTACAAGTCTATGTGCGAGAAAACCAGCTTGAAAAAGCGTTAGAAATAAAAGCTAAATGTGAAAACTTAAATGTCCACAACAGTCCAGGAATGTTAGCTAGTATTTTTGATTTGAACATTAAACTGAAAAATTTGTCTGGCGCTAAAAACTGCCTTCAAAATATTAGGAAAAAGTATCCAGGTAAAAAAGTAAAAAAATGTTAATTTTTAATTTTTTTTTTTTACCTATTTAAACTGTAGTATTCGATATTTTAAACCAGCTTTGTGGGTTCTTAAATAAACACTTATTGGTTTAGGACTTACAAATATGGCTTCTAAGAATTTATGATACTATTAAATGATTAAATTACTTTTAGGATTCCTAGTGGATGAACATAAAATAATTGATTTGGCAGCGTTAATGGTCGAAAAAGATAAGCTTGATGAAGCTGAAAATTTGATAATAGAAAGGGCTTCAACTACCAAAGTTGTTGGGGGCGAATATGTTCATAAAAACCTTTGGAATTTGTTAACACAAGTAGCTTATTATTCTTCTCGCCATCATTCTGATGAGAACAAAAATTTAACCAAAGATTTTTTTTTACTTTTAAAAAAAAATAAATTTTGTCAACCACGAAATGTATTACTAGGGCCCATTATTCGAGAATATTTATTAAAAAACAGAATTATAGAAGCGGTGCAAGAGTTCAAATATATAGCGGAAAACTTCAAAAAAACCCCTCTCCAATTAGAACTTATGTCTAATTTAATAAAAATTGGAAACAGTAAAGAAGAATCCGAGTCATTAAACATTTCACAAGAAAAAGCGAAATCCCTTTTACAGGACGTAGTTACCAGCACAAGCAAAATTCATGGCTCCATTAATTGCAATGGCACTTTATTATTAGCTGTTTGTGAATCTGGAAATGAGAATCAATTAAGGAAGTTGTTAATTGATCCAGAGTTTCAATTTAATGCTGAATTATTATCCAAAAATATTGAGCACTTAAATGCGAATGGGCGAATTGAAAACATTTTAAAATTAGCAAAAGCAAGTCGAGGAGTAAGGCACAACCTAAGTGAACAACAGTTATATAAAATGCTTTTGAATGAATTTGTAAAGAATAACAATTATGAAAGTGCAATTAATCTTTTCAATAAATTGGAATCAGACGATGAATTCAAAATATCGACAGATTTTATGAACACTTTAGTGGATTTATTAAAATTAAATAAAATTGAAGTACCAAGCAATGTAGCCCTAAGGGCTCAGCTTAAAATTTAATTAAGCTGGCTTTGATTCCTATGAATAATTAGAGAAAAGTAAAAAAGAACAGTAAAACAAAATAAAAAAAAATTTAAAATTAATTCTATCATATTTTAATGTGTTTGTATAAAAAAATATGCAAAGTTAAGTATCTTAATATTTTTCTTTTTTTTTCTAACTTTAAAAATTAGTATAGATTACTGTATTAATTATGTAGTTTTTTAATAAATCAAACAACTCATGTAAGTATGTATGTACACTATTTTTAAAAGATTTTTTCACGTTTATGTTTTTTCGATTTCTTTGAAGAAATTGACCTATGTCGTTTTCGTCGGTCTAAAGAAGGAGTTATAGATCGCTGCTTACTATTGGAGCGACTACGTGCCCTTTTTTTTGATTTTCTTTTGCTGTGATGTCGATGATGGTGTTTAGACTTTTTTCTTTTGTGTGATGGAGACCTTGATCTTGAATTTGTGTGATGAGGGCTGTATTGCTCTTTCCTTTTAAGAAACTTTGCATTTTCGGAGTCTACAGAACTAGAGGATATTACATCACTGTCGTCATTGTTATGATCTTTTTTTTCATAAGAAAACGACGGTTTTGACTGATATATATTTGGTGGATTTTTTTCCATTTCATTAGTTTCATAAGAAGATATAGGTATTGAGTGTACGGAATCATTGTCAGAATTACTGCTCTCCTCTTTTAACTTACTCAGAGCAGATGAATTATTACAATCTGTAAAAAATGATTGGTTAATTTTAGGATTTAGAGACTGCTTATAAAAAAAACCTTTAATGTGGTTTAAAAAAGCAATGGCTTTTTTCTTTCGTTCAAGTTGCAATTGTTTTTCTTTAGAAATAAGCCCAAGTTTTTCCCTTGCAATCTGAGCTAGTCTGTCTTTTATTTTTTCTTCAGCTAAAAATTTAATTTTTCAATTAGGAGAATCATTTTTCACTATAAATATTTACCTAATTTTAATTCTTTTTGTTTATCTACAGTGTTTCTTTGGTTTAAAGACGTAGTGCAGTTAGTCAAACTAGAAGGTGGTATGTTTTTAGAACTTATTGCATTGTCTAGAGCGGCTTTGTTATTGCTTGTGTATGGACAGGTTGTTTTCGATAACAAAGATTGAACATTGTTTCTAGCTACTAACTGATTTTCAACTAATTGAATTGCTCTCTTCACGTTTTCAGGAAGATCATTTGAATTGTGCTGATTATTGCCAATTGCGTGATTGTGCTCATTTTGATTGTCCGTTTTCTGCTGAGATTCATCATCGCTGCCTTCTTGTGGCAAAACTGGTTTAATCGGCATAGATGTTTCATCCTTCGATTTAATAGAAAAACTAACTGGAGCTAAAAATAGATTTACTATAAGTGCTATTTACAGAAATAAAAACAAAAACTAACTTATACGTTTCTTTTTTGATTGAGGTGGTAGAAGTGAATATAATTCAAGAAGTTTATTCATGTAGTAAGGGTAATACTCATTTTTTTCGTTTAGAAACATGAATCTTTCATCACCCTTCAGTTTTAATGTTTCTTCAAATTGCTTTCCATTCTTTACAACATAAGTTGCGGTTTTATCAATTACGGTTTGAATATGTTCAGGTGGAGCTCCAAAATTTGAATCGCAATCCTTTGATTCGTTTTTAGAGGAAATATCATGGTTCTCACTTTCGTTGTCGCTATCAGATGCGTAAGCTTGTGCCAACATTAAACCACTGGATATATTTTTAATTTCTACTGTCCCATAATTCCGGTCTTCACTCTGCTTTTCACATGGAACAACCTTTGCATCTAATTCTTGTTCTAACTTTTTAGAATTCGAATTAATGTTCGACAGTACTTCAGGAAGAGGTACTCCTTTGATCTTACTGATCAGTTGTGTATAAGCACAATTTGGAGAAGGTTTATATGGAATATTTGGTACGATGGGCTCATTCAATGATGTACTTTTGCTATCAGCATTACTCAAGATATTTCTTGAGTCAGTAACTTTATCCATAATATTGGATACTTCGGACGAAACATCTTCCGCGGAAGGATATGTTCCATCTTTTATAGAATTCAAGATGAATTTGTAATAGGGATTGAATTTATTACTTTGTGTTAAAAACTCGAATTTAGGATTATTAGATTGTTTGGCTTTTATAAGTATTTCCATTTGCGGTCCTTGTCCAGATATAAACCTAGCCGTTTTTTCTATTATTATGTGTTGATTCATTGTTTCTGGCTGAAAGTAAATGTTGTCAATTGAAATACATATGTATGTATAATGATTAATTAGAGAGTTACCAAAAGGACAGAATATGGTATATTAAGATTTCTAGGTTGAACGTAGGGTTTTTCTGGTTCTTCAACTTTAACTTGCTCACTATCAAAATTTTCTTCAGAAGTATTCATAAATGGTTGAGAATTATAGTCGAATTTAACTTGACCATATGTCGCTTTCCTTTCGTAAAGCAATCGTTTTAACTCCTCCTCTATAAAAAAAAACAAAATAATCTTAAAACGGTGAATTAATTAATGAAATATTTAAAATAAAATAAAAATGGGGTTGTCATCCACAAATTCCTGAAATATGTATTATATTAAAAAAATATTTGAATATCGTAGAGTTGCAGATATAATGGCCCTCCTGACAAGCTGCTAGTTAATAACAAAAATGTTGATAATTACCCATACTCACAAGAAATCACAATCCGCAAGAAATCCCAGTAATTAAAATACTCTATGTTTTGTGTTACCAGTCAGAAGTAACATTTTTTGACTGAGACTACAGTTGCAGTAACTTCCATTAATTTATCTGATATATAGCTGAAATGTGCTGTACAAATTCTTTGATGATGGTTTAAATTTTCGTATATTATAAAGTATGCAGTTGCAAATCATCAAGGCATTTCGAACGATATCTTACCTTGATACATTAGTTCTTCTTCTTCATTATGATTCAATGCGTAATAACGTTCTTCTTCCGCTAATTGTTCTGCACGTAGCTCTTCAGCTGGTAAATAATCTAGTCGATTCCCATATCCACCCGGTGGCAGTTCCAGCTGACTTGAATCCAATAAGGTTGCCCTCACATCGTATCTGAACATTAGAAAGGCAGTTATTAACATTTTCAAATCAAATACAATCATTTTAGTTTATTTTTATGATACAATAATGTTAAATACAAAACGAAAGTTAAATATTCCTATACATACCAAACATATTTATGTTCAATTTTAATAGAACCTGTTTAAATGAAATTTACAAAAATATCATTATAAGAGGCTGGGTAAATATCTATGCCATACTGTTATTTACTTAAATGTGCATTCAAATATTGATAAAACTTTATAAATTAATTTAAGAAGATTGATTGTTGTACCCAATTCCTCCATTATTTAACATATAAGTATTAAAGCTTAAAACGGAAATTAAAATTGTATTAACCTATCTATTTTTTCGCCATTCCATTCTAACAAATGTTTTCCTTGGTCTATAATTAAAGCTTTCGAATCATCCCTGAAAATTTTTGCAGCATATCCAAAAATGAGCAAATCTTTGCTGGTATTAGAATTTTCTGGCTTTGTATTCCTTCTTTTTAAGATTCCTCCCAAGTCAGTAGAATTTGTGCTACTATCCCACTGCATTTTATCGAATGCTTATGCTTTTACCATTACTTCTTTTCCAAGAGATTTATTATTTGTTTTCAGAAATTTTCTCAATTTAAAATCTTTTTTTAATATGTTATTTGATATTTAAATTAGAATAATTTGTGTAAAGTTTTATTATTTTATCAAAAATTATCAAAATTTTATGTACGTGCAACTAAAAGAAAAATATTTTATAAATTGATGTTTAAGAGAATATCGATTGTTAAAGTTGCCATATCCATGGAAAAAATGTGCAATATTTTTTAATTAGAAAATATTGTCTCAAGCTGTTTTGTCATAAGTAGTAGCATTATTTAGCGCATTTTATTTTACTGGTATTTTTGTTGGAAATTTTGTTCCCGTAAAAATAAGATTCAAACGTTAAATTTTAATGAGCTAAATGATATTTTTGCTGGAAGTGATCGTGAACCTTTACACTAATCAGAAGTACTAAATATATGTGATATTTTTTTTATATCCATGAAAGCACAAATGCAAAATAGAGAATGTAATGAAGGAATTACATAAGTTTCTCTAAAAAGAATAATAATATTAATAGTACACCAAACTACAACCTTTTCAAAGTAACTCTGCGTTTTTCGGTGATAAAAGTATCAGTTAACGGTCATTTTTCTCATATGTCTTTTCGATTTTTGTAGTTGGTTTTTGTTTGGTAAGTTATGAATATAAATGATATTTAAGTGTGAACTTGTTTGGTACATACTTTTATTTGACATTATACATATTTTTCCTTTTTGTATTTCGCATATATTAGAAGAAGTTGACGAAAGAAAGGAATGTTTAATTGTACATTTTCTGTTTAGTAAACTAAATACATATAAATTTTAAGAAGGTGGATTAAAATGTTTGGAATTGTCAAAGATTTTATATGGCTAGTCTTTTTTTAAGTTTTTAATAACATTTGGTATCAAAATTCTAATTGTTATAAGATGTTTATTGTGGCTGCGATTGATTTTAGTCAATGTTGATTTGGGATATTGTGTGAAAGGTAGGTAGGAAGGTAATTTTCTTTTTATTATGTATACATATGTAGATATAATTATAAATTTATCAAAGAAGAACTTATGTATTTATTTTTGAAAACAAGAAACTGAAATAAGATATGATGACTTCATTGAGCTCCTCAGTGAGGGGGCACAAGTCAGTTTCCCCTAGTGCATATAGTTTGAATGTTGATTTTAATACATACACAGCAACGCATCAGTGGTCTAAAATGTTGGAATGTGCCGAATTTGTCGGGGCTAAACGAAGCAAACACACTGTTGTAGCTTATAAAGATGCAATGTATGTGTTTGGTGGTGATAATGGAAAAAATATGTTAAATGATCTCTTAAGATTTGGAGCTAAAGATAAATCTTGGGGACGAGCATGCTGTACTGGTAATCCTCCTGCTCCAAGGTACCATCATTCGGGTAAATAAAATATTTTTCTTTTAGTTTAATTTAAATTAATTTACTTTTAAAAATTTCAGCTATAGTTTTTGGTAGCTCAATGTTTATATTTGGTGGATATACAGGCGACATCCATTCAAACTCTAACTTGACGAATAAAAATGATCTCTTTGAATATAAATTTCAAAGCGCTCAGTGGGTGGAATGGAAATTTAGTGGAAGAGTACCAGTGCCAAGATCGGCTCATGGTGCATGTGTACATGATAATAAAATGTGGATTTATGCGGGGTATGACGGAAATGCTAGGTTAAATGATATGTGGACCTTAGAATTAGGTGGTGATGTGCATGAATGGGAAGAAATAATTCAAGAGGGTGATAGACCTCCAACATGTTGCAATTTTCCTGTTGCAGTAGCTAGAGATTGTATGTACGTTTTTTCTGGGCAAAGTGGACTTCAAATCACAAATTCATTATTCGAATTTCATTTCAAATCAAAAACTTGGAGAAGGATTCCAAATGTTTTAAGAGGGTCTGCACCACCATCTAGAAGGTATGGCCACACGATGGTACATCATGATAGATTTCTTTACGTGTTTGGAGGGTCTGCTGATTCTACGTTGCCAAATGATTTGCATTGTTACGACTTAGATTGTAAAGTATGGTCTGTAGTAACTCCAGAAGCAAATTCTTGTGTCCCTTCCGGAAGAGTTTTTCACGCTGCGGCTGTTATAGGTGATGCTATGTATATTTTTGGCGGAACTGTTGATAACAGTGTCAGACGAGGAGATACTTACCGCTTTCAGTTTTCAAGTTACCCAAGATGTACCCTACCAGATGACTTTGCAAAGTTTTTTGCTGAAAAACAGTTTTGTGATATCGTTTTTATTGTTGGACAAGAGGAAACTAAAATTCAAGCACATATTGCTTTTGTTGCGGCTAGATCAAACTTTTTACGGACAAAAATTCTTGCAGCTCGTGAGGCGAAAAAACAACATTTAGGTAAAGTTGTGCAGGTCACGCTGATCTAACTCTTAATTTTGTTTTTTTTTTTCCAACTTTAGAAAAAGTTTTTGGTAATAGAGATGTAACCTGCAATGATCCAATGTTGGAGATCCGATTACCCAACGCAAACCCTGAAGCCTTTGAAATTATATTGAACTACATTTATACAGATAATATTGACCTAAAAAAATGCTATGGGAAAAATATTGTAATATTAATCACAGATATTTACACATTGGCTGGCCAACTTTTAATGCCACGTTTGGCTGCTGGATGTATTCATTTTTTGGAGCATAAAATTTCTAAGTCAAATGTTCTTGAAGCATTGTATAATGCTGACAAAAATAAAATTCAAGTTATAAAGGATCATTGCATGGCCTTTATTGTAAAGGATGAAAATTTTCATGATGTCGTAATGTCTAGCGAATTTGGAGATCTGGACAAATCACTTTTGGTAGAAATAATTAGAAAACGTCTAATTAATCCAAACAAGTCAAATCTTGAAGTGCCATTTGAAAAAAATGCCGGAACAATGTTGGAAATGGATATGGCAGTATTTTTAGAATTTACTGGGAAAGAATTTTGTGATATTAATTTGGTACTTGATGGTCACGTTATACCTGCCCATAAATCAATATTATCCGCACGATGTACATATTTCCAAGCAATGTTTCGCTCTTTCATGCCCCCTGATAATATTGTGAACGTAAGTACTAATTAATGCAGACTGTATTTATATCAAAATAATATCAATTATATTTATATATAAAATGTATTATGTAAATAAGATCTTAATAAGAAGAATAAGAAATTTTTTTAATTTTAGATTCAAATCGGAGAAATTTCCCCTTCTCTAGAAGCATTTATGTCCTTATTGAGGTATATATATTACGGCGAAACGAAATTGCCACCGCAGGACTCGTTATACTTATTTCAAGCTCCAAGCTTTTATGGATTATCAAATAACCGCTTGCATTCCTTTTGTAAATATTCCTTAGAGCATAATATAACAGTTGAAAATGTTTTGCAAACTTTGGAAGCGAGTGACATAACCAAAGTTCAAGACATTAAAGAATATGCTTTGAAATTAATTGTAAAGGAATTCGCAACAGTAAGTTATAAATGATGTGGTTGTCGATTTAAAACAATAAAATTTAAGCTAATTCGACTATTTTTGTAAGAAACACTTTTTTAATTACTTTTTCCTTTTGAAAAATATTGTAAAAAATTTTTTAAATTCCGTTTTAGGTTGCTCGTTTACCAAAAATGAGAACGTTGAACAGGGAACTGTTACTTGAAGTATGAAAATGTTAAATTTTTTTTTTGTCTAGAATGTTTTTATCTGACCAATTTATTACAGATAATTAAAAGCGTTGCGGATGCCCATGGTGAATATCTTATGACTCAGGATATTTCATCTATAAGTATTAACACAGATCTTTGAAAATTAGTATTTTTGCAACCAGCATTAACTTTGCTTTTAGCCTGGTTAAAAACAGCTGATATTATATAAGATTTAAACATTAAAGTTTATGTATTCTTATTTAATAATTTAAAATTTTGAATTTAATGTTATTAGTTTTCTTTTTTATTGCTGTGGCATAAAAAAATTTCTTTCAAATAAATAATTTAATATATAAAGTTATAAAATATGCAAAATAATACATTATATTTTTGTTGTTTGCTTTAAGCTGAAATTAAAAACCAGTAAAATTTGTCTAAATTATTTCAATCTTTTATTATATTATTCTAGATTATTTTGTAATAGATCTATATCTTTTTCGCTTTAATTGTTAATATTCCTTTAAAACAGACATTATTATGTTTTCAATAGCGTATCCGATTTGCCTTTATGCAAAGAATTATATTTCCCAAAATTAAAAAAAAATAAGGCAATATAATATATTATGACCCTACGATTAACTAATTTTAGTATACATGTATTTCTTTAGTGTTTACTTAATAATTTAATTTTTAATCTGAAAAAAAAATGTACTATTTTTTGAATATTGTATTAAATATTTAATTGAATGAATTTTACCTATGTATTCTCGAAAAAGATCCATATTCTACTTCACCATTCTAATTTTCCTGGACAATATTTATCTATTAAAGATTGATAATATGGCCACAAACTCTCAACATCAGGGATTTTTGCACTTTTGGTGTATAAATCATATCGACTGATAAATGAGAAAAACATACATTATAATTAAACGTACATATATAAAAGAAATTTAAATTTACTTGAAAAGTAAAACCCATTTCTTTGTTTCTTCGTCTTCTGGAGCTAATAAATAATCGTAATCTCCACCTGTATGCCATGGATAAAACGAGTGATAGCGAATAATGTTTAAAGCTTCTACAAATTTTTAAATAAATAAATCAAAAATTTATTTAATTTAATATAATTTTAAATATTTTACGTTCAGGTAAACCAGCTTTATTGTGCTTTAATACATTATACATGTATTCGTCATGTCCCCATGACATTAAAAGATTTTTTAATCCACAATTTTTCTTGTACATTCCATATTTAGTATTGTATTCAGGTCTATCACCATCTGGATTCCCAATAAAACTTTCTTCTCTATAAACAATGCTCTTTCCCCACTCACAACCTACAGGAAAAGTATCACCAACAACTGCCCATTGTGGTTCATCATAAAAAGCCATAATTTTTCCTAAATCATGAATTAATGCAGTTAAATGTAACCAATCTAAAGTAGGATGTTCTTCACGTACACGTTCAGCTCTAAAAATTATCTTTTTAGTATAAGGAAATTGATAATAAATATATAAAAAAATAATACTAGAATTTTACTTACGTTTGAAAAGCATGAATTATATTTGGAATATTGATATCAGGGTCCGAATGATCTACTAAATCATTCAATTTTTCTAAACATTCTCTAATTGTAGCTTTTAAATGATTAAATTTTAACCATTTTTTATGTTTATCTATTTATAACAAAAAGATTTTAATATTTTTTACTTATGTTTAATAATTATTTCAAGAATTATTTATTTTGTTTTTAAGATTAATTGAATAATAATACCTTTTACAAAATCAACTGTTTGGTGCAAATGCATTTGTCTATATGTATCACGTACTCTTTCTTTAAGTGCATCATTTTCATCAATAGTATAATCTCGAAATTTTGAAAGATTTTTATCAGCAAATGAACATTCAGGTCGTAAAAGTTCTGAAGGATCAATTAATTCAATTTGCTTCTAAATTAAGATTTTATAATTATAATATTTAATATACATTTCAAATAATATTTTTCTTACTGATTGTAGAACTCTCATTTTAAATCTTCTTTATTAAATATTGATATAAATTTTTCTCTCCTAATATATTACAAATTCTAAATTTTAATTAATTTTGCTAATTTCACACTAAGAATATGTGTTACAATTTTTGTATGATTACAATAAAATCCTTTTAAAAATTATAAATAAACAATTTTTGTACCGCTGTATTGAACTTCTTTTGACTATTTAAAATAAAAATATTATTTTTTCTTTCTTTTATACCTTTTATAAACTCAGTATTTTTATCTCCTTAATTAAAATTTAGTTAAATAACTAAATAAAAGTTGATAACTATAGAAAATACTTCATGGAGGTTGTGACGCAAAATAAAATTATTTAGGCATGCAAAACGTGATGGAAATATTTTTATTAAATCTTTGTATTAACCTTCGACTTTGATTATATAGTGATGCCAAATATTTAAATTAAGAAGATCAGGATATTTTTTCAGCTTAATTGTGTAGTGGGATTTAAGTTGAAGCTTATAATAGTTACATAATTGTGTAATTTTGTTATTATTCTTATTTACATCTTGTGTAATATTTCAATATTTTGCACAATAATATTATGTTTATTAATTTGTTCTCATTGCACTTCCAGCAGGTCATTATTGATGAATATGTGCGCATACAATATGATGTAATATAAAAATTTTTGTATTAAAAGTTAAATAAGACAATTTTTGCTAATATTTTTTTTTTTGTACTACGAAGTTGAATATACTAGTATATATAATGCACTTTTAATTTAAAATTTAAATTATACAATTAGTTTCTTTAAACTTTTCTTTTAATACATTATCACTGTCGTTGTCTTCAAAAAAATAAGAAAAAATCTAGATGATTTTTAAAATAAAATTTATTCATTACAGATGAATACAGTAAAGTTAATAAAAAATAATATAATAAATAAGATTATTAAATTTAAAATGTGCGTTTTCTTAATAAATAACTATGCGATTCAAAACTGTAAAAATAATAATTAATTACTTAATAATTAAAATAATAACAATTACAATAGTTACAGGTTAGTAACTCCAAATATTCTTGTATAGAACCAAGAGATCCACTAACCATTGAAATAATAAAAAAAAATCTATTATAGTGCAAATACTACATTTAAAATTTAAAGGTAGTACGTGTATGAAAACCGTTTAACTAAGATTTCAATTGATGCTTTTAATTTTAGGCATTAAAGCTTTAGAAAATATATTTTTGCATATTTTTCTAATTGTGGTGTGCGATTATTATTATAAATTTTTTTTTATTTAACACAAAATATTTTGTTATCACTTTTTACTATATTTGACATTGTGAAACAGAAGTTAAAGATTTAAAAATTTAAAATAATAATACGTATATGTACGTATATATATATAGGTACATATATTTATTTACGATTTTATTATAACATGATTGTAGGTGACAAAGGTATATACAGTATAGGCAAAAAATATAATTGACAAATTTAAAATAATTGAAAAAAAAATTTAATTACTAATATTTAGAGTTTAAGAAATTATAATTAATTTTATCTGAGACATATTATTTTCTAGCTTATACAATATTTATAGAAATTTATAATAAATTTCGTGATGTTTGAATTCAATAATTAATATTATAAATGATTCATATATTTAAGCAGCTATTAAAATAAAAATTAACAGAATTTTTTGTTTTATGGACTGATAAAATATTTAAATAAATAAATAATTATAATATATACGCAAGAAGAGAATGTCACAATGTACACATCATGTAACTCAGCGCAAATATATACAGTGTATTTAGAACCTATAGCGGACATAACATGTGACATTCAACTAAGTATTTAGTCAAAATAAGAAAATAAATCATTTTTAAAACAACATTAACATTAATATTATTAATTTGTTCAATTTTTTGTTCTATAATTCTAATAACAAAATTATATACTCTTATCTAAATTCTTAATTACGTTTTTCTATTGTCGATTAATAAAATTTTTAAAGTTGAATGTACATACATATTATGTAGATGTCAATCAATAATACATATACATATATTATTATTGTTATTATTATTGTAATTGATTACCATTTCAGTTCAAATGTGTATTCTTATTATATAAAACAAAAGATAAGAATAATAATGATAATTTAAAATAATAATATTAAACAATTGTGTAGTAGTCAAAAAAATTAATTATTTTTTTTACAAATTATTGTTTAAAAAACTTGGAATATAACTGTTATAACTGTTAAAATTTCTGTTATACAATTACAAAATCATAATTATTTGTTACCGTTTTCACAATCATTGTTATGATGTTGTAACGTATACCTTATATAATTATTCATATTGAGTTTTGTTTACAAGCGTAATCTAATTATACTTTTACATAATTTACAAATATATCATACATAATTATATATTATTTTTTAAATATAGACTTTATTAATTTTATTAAAATTAGAATGTAAGCTATTTTTATAATAAAAAAAAATCCTGTAAATTTAGCAAATTTTGAAGTAATATGCTCGTTAAAGTGATATAATGTAAGTGTATTTTTAAAATTTAAATTATTAATTAATTTTAACAATAAACCTATATACATATTAAATAATGTTTTAAATTTAAGTTGTTTCTGATCTTTTAAAAATATCATTGTTGTCATTGCATCAAACCAAAAGAATTGAAGTTTTTTTTTTTTTTGTAACAAATTCTTTTTTATAACGTGTTTACATAATTTTTCTATATATAAACCTTTATAGAAGCACAACCACTTCCTTGTAACCTAAATAAATATTTTTTAAAGTGCCAATGCATAAATATTTTAAGCCTAGATAATGCTATATACACATATATATTTATATATTGTTACATTCAAATATTTCTATATATACATATGGTTATTTTACGTAGTATCCCACTTATATATTTATTTTTGCTAATATAAATTTTCAATTGATGCCTGAAATTAGGAAATTCTTTAATTATTCATAATAAAATTGAATAGAATAAGATATAAATATGTATTCGGGATAATAAATAGTATAGTGGTACATAATATATATTGTACTCATATCATCTTATGGGCATAATATAAAAGGATGCTATTAGGTATATTGTAAACATTAATGTAATTCATTCAAACTGAAATATATGTATTTTACAAGCTTAGTTCCTATATTTATGGATATACGTATATATAGGACATACGTATATATATAATGTAATAACGTATGTAAATGTATATATATATATATATATATATTGGAAAAAAATTTACTGTGCGCAATGACAATATTAAATATACATAAAACACATACATATTATATAGTTCATTTATATACATATAAGTATAATGTGAATTAATATGTGCATATACTTTTAAAATAAATGGCATATTCACGAAATATTTGTTTTATCATATGAAAAATCTAGAGGAAGTCAGTAGAAGCAATTTTTAAAAAATTTTCAGTCATTAATTTAAGTAAAAAAGCAAAAAATATCGAAGTGTCATTTTGTGTATTAAAACTTTCCATCTTTATATATTTATAATATTTTTGATATAAAGCTTGACATTTACTTAAAATCTTGACTAATCTGCCTTCTATTTTATTCAACCATTAAAATTACATTACTGAATACGTAAGCCATAAAAATTTATTTACACACGTAAGTGTAAGCTATTAAATTTAAATTTTATAAACTAAATTTTTAGTGTTCAAATTCAAAGTATGTATATTTCAGTATTATTGTTTTGAATTCCTAAAAAGACTTAATGAAAGAATTAATTTTTAATCTACCTAAAAGCAAATCTAATTAAAACTTAATTTATTCAGCAACAAAATTTTAATTGCTGAATTATACGAGTAGTTGTTTATAATTATATTAAAACATTATTAAATAACTGTAGGACACTTCTTTAAAAAATTCATTTAAAATTATATCTCCTGCCTTTTATTATTGTTTTCATTTTAATAAAATGTCCATTTATTTGTGGTCTTTACTGTTTCTATATACAACTACATACAAAAAAAATTTTTCTCCAAAGATATGACGTATGTATTATATAAAAATATAACAGTTGTATATATATAACAATATTATTATGTATCAAAATATTTTCTTATAATAATTTATACATTTTATTTTTTTATATTCATTCATATTAAATCTATCATACTGTGTTGTACTAAACGATGAAAATATTCTGTTTTTTTCTTTTTTACTAAAATTTTGTTACTATAAAATTTTATATACATATGAAATTAAATAAAAGAAAAAAAAATAATTAATTACATTGAATTCTTGTGTGAAAAAACAAAATATAAAAATTTATAAAATATATTGGCATTTTATTTTTTTACAATAATAAAAATAACTTCATTTTATTAATGAAATCAAAATGAAAATGAAAATAAAGTAACTAAATATTTAATTATCAACCTATTTAATAACTACTTTATAAAATAATATTATAAATTAAAAAAAAATAAAATAAAGAAAATGTCATCGGAACATATAATAAATCTTGAGAAATCGGTAAGTTTTATAATAAAATTTAAATTCTTATCAATAAGTGTAGAAGAAAAAAAAAAGGGCATAATAACATTATGTATATATTTATGTGTATGTATATATGTACATAATTTTTATACAATTTTATAAAAAAGTTAATTTTGTTTTTTTTTTTTTGTAAATAAGTTCATTTATTTGAGTATTGACCAATAATTTTTCAATCATAATTAGAATTAAATTTTTTCAATATTATGTAAATTAATATAATATTTATTTTATATAAATGATGCTTTTAAATTATAATGATTTATGTGTTATATACTGTGTATGTATGTAAATATATGTGTTTATATTAATAATTCACATAGTACGTATAGTGTATGTACAAACATTCTAACTACATATTATAATATTATATTCGTGCTATCGGTTAATAAATAAAGGTTATAAAATAATAATAAATAAAAGGAAAAACTATTATATTCTGTTCTTTGAAGGACGTATATTTTTACACTTTAACCTTTTCATGATAGTAATGTGAAAACAAACCCTAAAATTATTATTTTGTTTTTCTTTTTTGCTTCTTTGATTGACAAAAAATTGTTTTTTTTTTTTCTTATTATAATAATGAAATATTATAATATAACAAGAATGATACAAAAGAAAATTTTAGACCATTATCATGGCAAATATTTTCAATTATTAAAAAATTATACGCATATATTAATATCACGAAAATTAAATGCGAATTTTCTAAATTTTAAAGGAGTTTTCCTTTTAGGATTTTAATAAGTAATTGCGTAAATTTTTTAATACTCGTATGTACATATATTCAAGAAACATTTTTGATGTCATTATTATAATATAGTTTTAACACAATATTAGTTAATTTATGTGGGGGATATTTTTTACCTACACCTACTTAACCCGCAAAAACACAATAGTTAAATTAGATTTTGTACATATGTACTTAAATAAATTAATCAAAGTAAAATTATATGAAGTGTTACCGTAAAATATCTATATGTATTCATATTTGTTTCGTATTAAAAATTTAACCCGACAATAAATAAAACTTAGATTAGAGAATGCTTAATTTAATAGTTAACACAATATAAGTGGAAATATAACATAAATATAATGTTTAATATTAATGTGAAATTTCTTTATAAATAATTAATTTGATAATCGCTGTCTTTACAAGCCAAATATAAATTAGTTTTTTTTTAAATTGATTTGTTGATTTTAAGTTGACAAACGCATTTGTGGTTGGTGGTAAATTCTTCTGTAAGGCCATTGAAACTTTTTATTGTATATTGTAGATCCCACATACACTAAAAAATTTTAAAATTAGATTTTCTTACATCAATTTAATAATCACAAATATAAATATATCTGATACAAGTGATTTAGAATCAGGTTGGCTTAACTCACAAATAAAACGATTTTGTGTTTACTGTTTTGGTCGGTCATTTGTACTGTTTCATTAATATTACGTGACTAAACAACTTTAAAATTCTAGTAATTTCAGCCTATGAATTATAATTTCTGAATTGTGGGTTAAGATCGTTTTATTAATATACATTTGCGGCGATAAAATATAAATGTTGAGCGTATTGAGCCAATCTGATTCAGAAACACATTTCATACTTTTATATACTTACTATAATTTATATATTACAATTATTTTAGAATTTTTTTTTAATAAAATGTTGTCGTATTTTTATTCTTTGATTTTTTTTACTCCATTTTTATATATAACAGGTACAACAAGCTGGATCACAATTAAATACAGTTGCCGATAAATTGGTTCAAGTTGAAAGAAATTTAGCTGAAAATAGTGAAAATGGTGAATTAATAGATGATGTACGTGTATTAGAATTATTAGAATCAATGGCTGAAGTTAAAAATGATTATCAAAATTTAAGAAAAGATATTAAAGAAGTACAGCAATTACAAAAGGAAATGACAAATAGTATCCGGTATCAAATGAAAACTATGCATCAAACTTTTGTTATGCTTAAAAAAAAAATTGAAATAAATAAGGCTTCACAAAACTAAGCCCCCAAAAATTGTTTAAAAATAAAACCAAAAGAAAATATAAAATAATAAATCAAATTTCATTTTTATTATTTATTGTTACATATGTGTAATCGCATTATACACAATACGTCGATTATATATTATGCGTATTATATAAGTATTATTATATGTTATTTAATTTTTGCATACATATGAATATTATTATACATTATATATGTACATTTGTATATATATATATATAGACTTTATTATTTATTTTTTTATTTAGTGCTTTTAATATTATAATTTGTTATACGCAAGTATTTAAAAATATGATGTTAAATTTTAAAATTTTAGGTATTTTATGTAATCATTTTTTTAATTGCATTAAGTACTAATATTTTAACAAATGATTAAAATACTCGCAGCATTCAATATATAAAAAAAATACATTCAAATGCGTAAATATCTAAATTTAAATCTAATGTCATTTTCGTTTATTCAGTATTTTTTTTTGAATAAGTTAATTTGACGTCAGATGTGCATTTAAGTATGAACGCTCCATATCCTCATACAATCATTCATTAACAAAACATATTATACATATATATTTAATTTTCATTTGTTACGATGATTGTGTAAAAAAAACTTAAATAAAATTTTATAATTTTTTAATATATATTTTATACTACTTTAATAATTATAAAAAAATGTACACGTTATTTTATATTGTATGTTAAATTAAAATTCTAGATTATTAAAAAAATTATTAATTTATTAATAATTTTAAGATTTTCACAATTGTCATGGTCAATTTCAACTTGTACTTATAAATTTTCAAACTGTACTTATAAATTTTACATACCTAATACAAGAAGCGGAAAATATATTTCAATGTAATTAATAAAATTTAAAAATTATATATAAAAAATTCTGAATTATTTATGAAATTTTTATACATTATATAAAGTTATTGAGAAATATAAAATCAATAGTTACAAAATCAATACATAGTAAAAGTTTCTTAATCAAATTCCAAAATTTAATTCATATTAAATACAAATTGAAAAAATCTAGTCAAAATTATATAATTTGTATAATTTCGAATTCAAATCAAAATAGAGAATATTTATTTGTTTTAATTTAATAGAAATTTTGTTTCTGTGATAAATTTGTTTCTGAAATTTTTTATTTTATTTTATATACCTTTTATCCATTTAATATTCAAGGTTATGTTAATTTATAAAATAATATATAAAATATTAAAATAAATATATACATATAATAAAAATACAATTAATAATTGTAATAATTGAAAATAATTGAATTAAATATAATTGATAATTTTTCTTTTGTATTTTTTATATTTATTTTAATAATAGCTATAACATATATAACATAAGTGATTTTAACCTTTATTTTAATCTCTTTTTATTTTTTATAGCGATAAAAATGATTGCAATACCGAATACAATCGGATTTACTATATAATTATAATAATATAAATATTTATTTATAATACGTATTTAAATTTACATAATTATAACATTTCATTCATCATAATTATAATTCATTCAATAATTTTTTTCAAGCATAATTAAAGCCTATGTAAAATTAAATTTAACTTTATTTTAGCAATATTTATAGTATTATAAAAATATATATTATTATGTATTTGATTTTTTTATTTTATTTTACTAACTTAAAGTAAGCAAACCAAATTACTATTATTTAATATTTATCATTTATTTATTTCTATCTTATTAACTGGGGTTCCCAACTTAAATTTATTGAAAAATTCTTAATGCTAATAGATTTTTGCATTCATAAAAATTAAACGTTTAATAAGTACGTGTATTTAATTGCTTCAATAATTTTCAAAAAAAAAAAAAATTATATAAGCAGAAAATTAATTGAATAAGTATAAGAATATAATTTATATTCAGCTAAAATTCTTATATGTGAAAAATTGTAATATTAATTGAAAAAAAAAAATACACAAATCGAATCTCTTTTTAAAAAGAATTTTTTAATTTCAAATGCCATATAAGTTAAATCGAATTTGCCATACAATTTAAAAATGACAATCAAAATATAATTGATCGTCATCGAAATCGAAATTGTCATTTTTTTACGTTTGTCATTAAATTTGCTAAAATGTTTGAATAGCTGGGAATTCCAATTTAAGCTGTTTCGCTTTTAAAACTGAATTAATAGCTATTAATAATAAATCTTTGTAAGAACTCATTCATATTTTTTATTAATATATGGTTATTATTAAAAATTGCACTAATCAAAAAAGAAAAAAAAAAATTGTAATACAACATGTCTGATACTATGTATGTATATTCATACGCCTTAAAATAATAAAATATTATTATAATTTATATGAACGCATATCATTATAATATGTATATGCAAAATAATTAGAATAAGTTTTGTTACACGGTAAAATTCTTAAATATTTCAAATTAAATTAAACACAAAAGTAATATTATGTTAATATTGATAAAAACATATAACACAATAATTATATATTAAATATTATAATTTAATATAAATCTTTTATATAACAAAATTTTTTATGTATCGCGATTAATTGTTCAAAAAAAAATATTTTATATGTTTGGCATGTTTCTTTTTTTTTGAAATAATATCATATTAATAAACTCTAGTCTTCAAAATTTCAGTAAAACACAATAGTTTTTGAGTCCTAATTACCAATTAAGACCCAAAAACTGAATTATCTATTAATGGAATGTTATTGCAATTTTGTAGTTAAAATATAAAATTCAACTTGGTTTCATTGTAAAATTTAAAATTGAAGAGGTATGAAAACAAAAACTTGAAGAATATTTTTTTTATAGATAGAATTCTTTGTAGTTCTTGGCTTGTAATTCTCTGTAAATGCATGGCTTTTATAATATTTTATTTTTATTTTTAATTCTAAATAATCATGCTTAACAATATTTTCGTAATGCATAAAGAATTTTGTTATACACACATATTTACAATTGTTTTTAATTTATAACTATATAACAATAATTATTAATTTACACAAGTACAAAAAAAAAAAAAACAATTCAATTAATTAATTTAATATAATATTTAATTAGCAAAAAATTTGTTCTTGTAATTATAATAATTAATCTTTGATTATTATAATATGCAATTAATATATAGTGTTGATATTATATACATTTAATTATAGGTAAAATATAATATAATTTAAATTAAAAAATGAATTAAAAAAAAATAATGCTTGTTATACGCACAGGCACTTCTTTAAAATTTATGTATGTATTTAAGTGGTAGAAATTGAAAATTTCTATAAATTGTAAGTGCATACTTACATACATTATATAAAATATTTCATCTCTCAGAATAAAAAATTTTTATTTTGCATGAATTTGATTAATTTTTGTTTTTTGTTTCAATCTAATAGGTGATTATTCTTATTTAAATGAGTAAATATGTAGTTAAATGTAAATGTTTAATATAAAATGTTTAATTTGTAATTATTTCGAATATTATAAGTATATATTTGTAGAAAATTCATTTAGCAAACCGAAGGGAAAATGCAGTAAAGAACCAAAAAATTTCAAAGAACCATGTTTGGTGCATCTTGATATGTTTTAAAAAAATTTTTAATTGATTTTATTAAAATTGTACGATTTTAGGAGTAGCTACATATATATTATGTAAAAAGAATGAATAGTAATATGAAAATTAACTCTGTAGAATTGTAGTTTTAAATTTAAAACTTATATATGCTTTTATGCTATTATTTTTATATGTACATATTCGTAATTTCATTTATAAACAATATGACATTCAAACCCGGCCAATTTTCAAAGCGAAAAACATTGTTGAAATAGCAAAAATAATAATTAATTAGGGATGTAAATTGATAATTTTGGATCAAGTTTAGAATTCCAACCGAATTTTTGAAAAAAAAGTAGCACAAACCACTTTTTAGTCTATTAATCACAAAAATTGCAGTCTCTACTGCACGAAGAGTATTAAATTATATTAAGAAAAAGGCACTTTTCAAATAAGACCCTATTGAATGAATTAGTTATCAATCTATATTTACTTAGATACATTAATTGAAGTTAATGGTTACTCTTTAAAAGTACGGAGTTTTTCATTATTGGATTCTAAATTTCAAATTTATTGTAATTTTGAAAATTTAAAAAAATTTTTGAATAATATAACTTCATCTTCAATTGATGCTTTTTATATTTGATATTTCTACATTAAGAAAATCATTTTAATATAAAGTACAATAAATTTAAAAGTCCTTAAATTAACTTAATAAATGTATTATTAAAAATTTTTTTTTACATTATTAAAAAATTTTTTTTGCATTACCAAAAAATGTTTTCTTTCGGTTTGCTATGATTTTATTGGAATTGTGTATTTGCTTTTTATTATTTTATAAAATTAAATTAAAAATAAAATTTATAAACAAAAATCATATTTAATTATATGTATTTGTTTTTTACTAAGTATTTTTGTATTTTTTTTAACCATTGCTGTATGTTACATAAATAATAAAAAAAAATCAACACCCTTTATCTAACCTAATATAAGAAATTTGTTTTTTTAGGTCCTACTTATCTATCTATAGTTCCTGTTTAAAATGAATTTATAAATTTTGTTAAAAATTATGAATTTCTTAATTTTTTTTATTAATCTGAAAATAAAAATGTTTGTATATTATTTTGTGAAAGAAGAAAAATATTTTTGTACCATTAAATGATTTTAAATCAAAGTTTTTTGATTTACATTGTTATACATTAAAAATTACATAAATTTAGCATACAATTTTGTTGTAATTTTTTTATTATTAGTAAATTTTTAATGTAAAAACTTAAGTTTTTCTAATATGTAATTAAAATCTGAAATTATTATTTTACAATTAGTTATATGTACGTGTGAAAAATTTTTAAAATGAAACCAAATAATAATATTCTATACTTACAAATATTTTTGTATAGGATTTCAATAATTAATTTGATAACTAAAACAAAATAAATACTATATTCATCTTACTTTTTAGAATAATTTTTTTTTTAGTGATTTTTTAAAATGAGAATGTATAAATTTTTTAAGATTTTGTTACTTGAAAGAATTTGAAATAAATTTTAATTAGCAAATAATAATGCGTTGTGTTATAATTTTTCAGCGTTCAGGCAAATCTGCTTATTTTATTTTTTATCGTTGTAAGTACATTGTCATTTTAGTTACTTACTCATAAGTGAAATGCCGCAAAAATAATGTTAAATGGTTTGGTTTCTTTTTCAACAATGTTTATGGCTGAGAAATACAGTATTCTTCAGAAATATCTTCTCATCTTTGGTATAAAAAATATTGCATCACAATTCCCAAATAATTGCTTTTTCTTTTGTGCCATCTGCTCTAATTTTTTCAATTATTCAAAAAAAATAATCATCATCCTACGGCTGATTTATTTTAGATTCAATAAAAAAAAGTAGATGCTTTGTAACGTCTTTCAATTACATGAAATTTTCCAAATTTATTTTATTTTTTCCTTATAATCTTTAAAATTCTTCAAAAAAGATGCTTTTGATAATATAGTAACCAAAAAATCGTTAATTTTTTCCATTCACAATTAGTAATTGTCATTTTGAGTACTGATTGTGACGTCTCAAGACAAAACGTCTTATCTCGAATTAAGACGTTTTCGTTTTTCTTCATTTTTATAGTATTAGATGAAATTTATAAAACTTAAAAAGTTACCGAAAAAAAAGTTAATTTTCGTATGTAAAATACAGATGTATGTATGTAAGTGAATATGTACGAAGTGATAAGATAATACGAAGTGATTTGTGGGCCTGTAACGGATTTATATTCATATTTCTACTTGCAACGGAAGTACTTGTGAGTGTATGCACGTTAATGTCAAAAGAGGCAAGAGCGCAAATAAAATCTCCATCAAGTATAGAATGACATTTGACAGTAAAGAGATGTGATGTATTAAAAAAAAAAATTATTGATAAATTAAAGTTTTGATTTCGACAACTTACTTACTTATTTTCATAATATATTTGACTTATTGACTGCATTAATTTTATTTAATATAATAACCTAAGAAAATGTCGTATGATTTAAAAAAAGAATCTGACGTTAAAGAATATTTGGAAAAATTAGGTATCGAGTACAGATTTGGTTGCTATTCAGAAAAGAAACCAGAAGGTACGTGCATTGTTATGTGGTGCATAATAAAGTTTTTGTGGAAAATGATTTAGTAGTTATAAAAGGAAGTTGTACCGTCGAACACAAATTCTTAGTCCTATTTAACTTTAAATTGCAACATTTATTCTGTAAAGAACTTTATTTTATTTTCAGTGTGTCATCTTTTAGGAGATTATTTAGAAGGAATAAAAAAGGATTTTGAAAAGGCTTCAAAAGTTTACAAATCAAATTGCGATGATTATGGCTACGCAAAATCATGTTATAAATATGGAAATTATAGTTTTTTAGGTAAAGGAAAAAGTGGAAGTAAAGGAGATCCGAAATTAGCTTACCAATATTACGAGAAAGGTTGCGCGTTAAATGATCCTGACGCTTGTCTTCATTCTGGACTACTTCTAGTTTCGAGGGCTATGCCTAAGCAGATTGAAAGGAATGTGCCAAAAGTAATTACTTAAATAATATTTATTCATATTACAAGAAAACTAAAAAAAATATACATTTTTTATGTAGGGTGTAGAATTTTTAGCTAAGAGTTGCGACATGAACAATGCAACTGCTTGTTTTTATCTATCTGGTATGCATATTTCTGGAGTACAAAAACAAGAAAATATTGAATCAAATTCACCACAAACAAAAAACCCTTCAAAGCAAACAACTTCCAATGTCCCGAAAGGTGGGAGTATTATAAGTGATAAAGAAGAATATTACATCCATAAAGATATGAAAAAGGCTTTTCAATTTGCTTATAAGGCTTGTGAGTTAAGGAATATGTATGCTTGTGCTAATTTAAGTCAAATGTATGCTCGAGGCGATGGTACCGAAAAAAATGAAGAGAAAGCAGAAAAATTCAAAAAAATGGCTCTAGAAATGCAAGATGAGGTTAAAAAACAACAGCAAACTTTAACTTTTCAGCAAGGCATACTGTCTCAGTAGAATATTTTAGAAAATTGCTTTTTAAAACATGTTTCTTAAAAAAATTTCTCCGTTAATTTAATTCATAATTTTTATTTAGATCTGAAGTTGTGTTAATAAAAATATTAAAAATTAATTTTGGCTATCATTCAACGCAATACATATATGGTTATATAATATTGAATATTCTGGAAAGATAAAAAACATTATTATTTTATAATCACTTTATCTATTTATAACCCAACGTTTTTTAATACATTTAGCTATAGCGTCTTAACTACAAACATTTTTAAAAATTGGAAAAGAGAATTTTATTTTTACAGGTTTAATTATAATTATGTAATTTCCTTTCACTGCATATTATTTAATTCTTATTGTCGCACAAATTTTGCGTTTTTGTACATAGTTGCACCTACTATGTGTTTTACGAGCACTTAAAATTATTCGAAACTTTAAAACATTTTCCTTAAGCCTATTCGAACTTCACAAAGTGAATGGTTATATAACTTGCTTAAAAATTTCTAAAATTTGTTGGTGTAAATATTTATGTACGTATTTTTAAACAAGAATACATCAAATTTTTGTGGTTTATAAAATCTTATATATGTATATTAAAAAAAATGAGATCTTTTCACTATCTTGATTTGCCATTTGTAAGTATGTTCTTTCTAAAATTTGAATTAAAATTATGAAACGTAAAATAAACTTAAAAAATATAAAGAAAAACAATATAAAAGAGGGAATAAAGTAAGAGATAATGGATTAAAACAAAATAATTGATTTGGTGGTTATATTTAATTTGTTTTGTATAATTTAATACATTTGTAAGTCAACATAATTAAGAAATTAACAAATAAAAAAATTAAAAATAATTATAATAATTGACAAATTAAATATTTTACACTTCCACTTTTCAATAATATAAATAATAAAATTAAGTATATTTCCCAAAGCGTTTTAATGCTCATTTTTCTTATTAATTTAACCAAATCCAAAAAAAAACATGTATGTAGCTCATTAAATTAAATGAATTGCAGTTTGTATCAGTTATCAGCTAATTAAATTACCAACCAAGATGAATTTTATTCGAAAATATTCTTGGTAAATAAAATAAATATTAATCTTTGCTTCATTATGCTTAAAACGAAATTAAAAATGTTTTTACGTTTCCTATTTAAATGAATTGATTACAGTTATACCTTTTAAATTATAGGAAAGTAAAAGCAATTTCAATTAAAAAATATACATTTCAAATATTTTATATTCTTAATGATTTATGTATGTATGTATATAAAATGCTATAACAACATTTTGTAAGACTCACGACAATAGTTACAATAGTAAATCTATTAGTCAGTATGAATAATTTTAAATTATTTTAAGAAAAAAAAAAACTTTCGGACGATAAGGGAGGGATGATTTCTAAAATAAAAAATGTTAAATTAAAAATAAAATTAATGGAAAACTTTTCATTTTTTAACAGCTTTTATAAGCAAATCTGTTGATAATGATTTTGGTCTTTCAATTGGTAAACCTAAAGCACGATCCCAAATTAAGGAAGCTAATACACCAAGAGCACGTGATACACCAAAAAGAACTGTATAATAATTCATTTCCTTAAGTTTATAGTATTGCAAAAGAACACCAGAATGAGCATCAACATTTGGCCATGGGTTCTTAACTTTACCCAATTCAGTTAAAATTGGAGGTACTACTTTGTAAATTGTTGATACAAGTTTGAATAAGGGATCATCTGGTAGATGTTTCAAGGCGAATTCTCGTTGGCAAGTGTATCTTGGATCAGTTTTACGAAGAACAGCGTGACCATAACCGGGTACAACCTAAAAATAAATATGTATTTTTATTTACATATTGAAAAAATTTATTATGAATTTACTTGTCCGGATTTCAATGTTTTCCAGATGAAATCTTTCATTTGGTCTTCTGTTGCATTTACTCCAATATCTTTTTGAAGTTTTAATAACCAAATGAGTACTTCTTGATTGGCTAAACCATGTAAAGGACCAGCTAATCCATTTAAGCCAGCTGCGAAGGAAAGATATGGGTCACTCAAAGCGGAACCAACCAAATGTGTTGTGTGCGCTGATACATTTCCACCTTCATGATCACTAATAAGATAAAAAATGTATTTAATTCACTTTAAATTTATAATTATATAAATATAATAAATACCTATGGATTGTCAAATATAATCTCATTAATTCTGTGAATTCATTAGAGCTGTTTACACCCAACATATTTGAAAAGTTAGCTGACCAATCTAAATTTGGATCAATTGTTTGATTACCTTTTCCACCTTTATAAGTATTATTATAAATTGTTGCAGCGACAACTGGTAATTTAGCTATTAAATCCATGCTATCTTCATATACATATTCCCAATATTTTGCTTTATTTACACCTTGTGAATATGCTTTTGCAAATTTACTGTCGTGATTAAGTGCTGTTACAGCACATGAAAATTGTGACATTGGATGCAATGTTGTTGGCATATTATTTAACATTGTCACAACATGATTTGGTAATGCAGCACGTTTTGCCCATTCTTTTGATAATTCTTTAACTTGATTATCATTTGGTACATCACCAGTGACTAGAAGCCAAAAAAGGCCTTCTGGAAGAGGTTCGCTACCGCCAGGAGCTTTTGGTAAAACTTTTTGGCATTCTGGAATTGATAATCCACGGAATCGGATACCCTCATCAGGATCCAATACTGAAGGTTCCCAAACTAAACCTTTAATACCACGCATACCACCATACATCTACAAAAGTAATAAAAACATTTTATATATGTATATACGTATTTTTCAAATTTTTTATTAATTTCAGGACTATTATTAAATTAAAGATAGATAGATAGATAAGCTTCTATGTTTGAAATTGATTGGCAATTCAAGTAGCATAACATTGGAATGTCTACACAATAAAAAAAAAAATTAAACTGTTACGTTGTTTGAATTTAATCAAAACTTTATAAAAGTTTAGTTAATAATTTCACGGAAAAAATACAATTAAATAGGGGGCAGTTTATCATCCATTTTTTCACACTTACTTATTAGGCATGGAATACTTAATTACATTGGTTCGTTGCAAGAACAAAATTTTTATTTATAGCAATAATTTTTAAAAATTTTTTTCAATTTTGATGAAGTAAGGGTACCTATGATTAAATATTTCATTTTTTTTTTTGGAAATAGAATATTTTCCTGAAGACTCTCTTCTCTTATAATGCTTAAAAATTATTATTTGTTTTATACTATGTAAAGAATAAAATCAAAAATTGCTACAAATTCATTAAAAATAGCATTAAATTAAATTTGTAACTACTTTCATTTCCAAAAAAAAGGTATATTTAAAGTTTGGGAGAAATTTCAAATTTCTGAAAATTTTTGGTTAACATTCATTTTAAATTGACCTCCTTACGCAATAAGAAAACTATGACCTCTTCTATTTAATGACAATAATTCGAATCAAAAAAGACTTTCTGTTTTTGTGAAAGCAAAAAAGAAAAGCAACAATAAAATATATAAAAAAATATATTTGTAAGTTATTTTTATAATTTTAAAGATGGCAAAAAGCCAGATGATTGAATAACTTGTAAGAAAAAAAAAAATGTTTTTGCTTAAACTCAAAACAGAAAAAAATCTCTTTATACTTTGTTTGTTTTCATAATTTGTTGCTTATTTCCATTTACTTTTAACTTTGTCTTCTCTTTTTTTAAAACTTTAAATTAGGCCGTTTTTGGTGTTATTGTATAAAATTTTGAATTTAAAATATTTCCATTTCATTGTACTAAACAATAACTAGCCAAATATTGGTTTTTGTTCTGCAATACTTACCATATCAACTGTAACCTCTCCAACTTTTGTACTTCCATGTTCCTTACGAAATTTCTTGACTCTTTCTTGTTCAGCCGGGATTTTATTTTGTAAAACATCTCGTAAGTTATTTGATGCCGCTGAGATATTACGAATATAAGTAGTCAAAGGTGAAGTCAGCTTCTGTTAATAAAAAAAAAAAAAAAAAACCAATAAATTTTACTATTTTATTATAAAGACTAAATTATCAAAATCAAAAAGGAAAGGGAAAAAATAAAATTTTTATAATAAAAAAAAAATTATTTCAGTAAGAGTTTTCAAAATGAGTTTTTCCCTATTTCAATTGAATTATTTTTAATTTCTGTTTATAAATAAAAAATTTACTTAATTTATTTCTTTTAATAATTCTTAATAATAATTGCATGATTCAGCTACTACCCTATCATAATTTTAAATGTAAAATATTAATGAAATTGCAGCGAATTATATATTTTTTATTTTTATTTTTATTGCAAGACACCAGAAGACAGACGATAAAAATTTAAATTTAAATTTGAACATAAACTAAAGGAAATTCAGTTTTCACTTTCATCTTAAAAAAAAAAATTGAATATTTTAAATTTTTATAAAACATTTTAAATTTTATAGTTGAATATTTTAAAATTTTACAAAATATTATGTATTGTGAATTACGTTTACATGAAATTCCTTTACGTGTTAAGGTTAATAAGTATAATTTTTTATTATCTAATACACTAAAATTAAAAGCTACCTAACTATAAAATTCATACTTTTTTTAAGAAAGCTATTTTATATTTATTCAAACAATATATTTTGTATTGTATTTCAGTCAGACTATAGAGAATCATTAAAAAAAAAAGGTTTTTTTTTTTTAATATTCAATTTTTTATTACATACTTAAAAATACATTGAAATTTCACTGGAAGTATATTTTTTTTTCAGAAAATTGGAATTTCCTTTTATATATTAAAGAATTAAAAAAAAAAAAAATTCAATTTTCATACAACGTAATCAATCTTTTTATTGGTTAGTTAGTTAACTACTTACATTTATATTTTGTAGATTATTATTTAACAGTTCAGTGTTGGGATATCTGATTTAGTAAATTGTACTAGATTAGACAAAATACAAGGCGATTTTATGTTCAAATATTAAAAACTTCGAACACGTGTGTATGTAAATAAAACCAATGTTAAATAAATCAATAAAATAATTTCAGTCTTAATATTGATGTATGTATGTATAATAGTAATATGGACATTATACATGACGCATTGAAAACATGTTCGCCCACAAAAAATTTATATTTTGAATGTATAACGATATATAGGTAGCAACTTCAAGAATTTAATTTTGAAGTTTAATATTTTAATATCTAAAGGTTCTGACATTGTACATAATTTACATCATAATGCTTCATACTTTCTTCTTAATAATTAATTGCTTCAAATATTTTTTTTATCTGTAAATATGGAACAATTTGGATGTATACTTTTTTAAAATGCAATTGGTATAATTTAAAAAAAAAACTCAACGCAAAACTAAAATCCATAAAGTCAAATTTAACATTAAAATTGCGATATCCCAACACGGGTTATATGATCCTACCTGTTAAAAAAATAAACGAGATTCACATGATAACAAAATAATATAATGAGAATATTAAAAAATAATGAACTACAACAAAATTCACATGCTTATTAATTTTATGACCCAAAAAATTAAAATTGTAATATTTAACTACTTTTAAGCTTTATTTTAAATGATAAGAGAAATAAAAATTTTTTTTTATTTTTCCATTATTCTATAATTATTTACGTAAAAAAAAAAAACCAAGGTCGAAGTAATGTTTCTGTTTTATTTTTTTATTTTTTTGTGTCTGTGCAGCTTATTAAATTAAAATTAATATATTTTTAATTTTATTTCTATGATTTAATATATTACAAAATAGTTAGATGCATATGTATACTGATGACTGAACTTTATTTCAAGCACAAGGTAATGATAGATTTATTTAAATACATACATACATATGTATATATTAAACATAATGTATTATTTTTTTATCTGAAAACTATATTGAATCTGGTCAGCCATGAATTACAAATTTAGAATTAGAGTTGATTGAATTACAATATTATGTATCATTTATATTTGGGTTTGTATTACAGAAATAAATCGAAGATGTAACTAATTATATCGTCATTTAATTTTAATTTGTTAGGTAGGCGCCTATGATAAATGAATATGGACTGTTACGTGGGCGCAATTTATATATTTTGTCATAGAGATTTAGTTATTTATTAATTATTCGGAACTATTGTCAAATTTATCAAAAATCATATATATGTTTTTTTGCAATATTTGCCATACCTATTAAATATACAGATTAATACAAAAATTGTTTAAATTTATAACACTTATAACAAAACAACATTTTTAATATAAACACAAATCTAGTTCCCGTACATATATTTCAATATTGCAGTATTTTCTATTCAAAATTATTTTAGAATAAGTATTTTTCTCAAAAATTTTTCGAAAAAAAAAAATACCAGTAACATCTTAATTTTTTTTAAATACATACAGACGTACAATATAAACACTAAAAACTAAAATAAACAGAATATTTGCTAATTAAATTGTTATTTACAAAAACAACATCACCTGAATTTGATTTTAAATTTTTTATTAAGAGATCTAATAAATTTTCGAAAATTAAATTAAGAAGTTTTCTTATTTTTTTTTTTTTATTAATTTATTTTGCGTGTTATTATAAAAAAATCAACAAACTGAATCAAAATGAATACAAAAAATTAATGAATTACTTAACTAGAATTACTACGGTAGGCACCGACCTAACTATCTACCTACCCACATCCCCCTATATAAACAATAAAGTACAATATATTATTGTTTCGCAATTAAAATTATTAATTATTATCTGTTTTTTCGATTTATCTTCACAATAAGATTAATTCAAGAGTAAAAAAAAAACAAAAAATGTAATAATAGTAAAAACAAAAAGAAAAAAACAAGGAAAAAAAAATAGTAAAGCAAACACTTATTATAACCTAATAACATAAATTAAAAGCTTCGTAACAACAATAAGACAAAAAAAAATGTTATCATGCCATTTATAATCATCGTCAGTAGACCTTCTCATCGATCATCGAGGCCTTGACTATGAAATTTTTTTTTTTTTACAAATCTTTTTATTACGTTTTTTTTTTATTTTATTTTCCGTATTTATCTCAATTAAAACACGCCGTTGACCTAATGTTTTGTAAATTGAAAATGCATATTTTGTATGTACATATATTAAATATATGTAAGTGAGGTGATATATTTTAATGCATTTCGAAAACTATAATTCTTTATTAAAATGTAAAATTTTAATAATAAACTACTACCTACTTAGTGATATATTGTATATTTTATAAATAGTGAGGTGATATTATATTAATTCTTGATAATATAGGTACACATAATCATTTATGAGTTCTATTTACTACTTGTATGAATTTATTAAAAATTTCTTGAAATCGTTTTTTTTTTTTTTTTAGTGTATTTGTATGATAAGAAAATATTGAATGGTGAATGAGCTCAAAGTATATGCAATACCTATACTTACTAAAAATATTAAATTAAAATAAAAAAAATAATCAAAAAAAAAAAACTACAAGTGGCATAAACTACACACTTATAACGTGATATTAAATTAAATTTAGATCTGATTTTTATTTTATTTGTTCATTTATTCATTTTAATAAAGAAAAACTCCATAGGTTGATAGGAATACCTATAGACAGTTTATAATAGTTTTTTATTTATAATTTTATATCTATGTATATTTTTTATAAAAATAAAAAATTAGACGGGAATCCAACTACATATTCCAATTCGATTTATAGTCAAATTTGAAAATGTAAGGAATTAGAAAAATGAATTTTTGAACGCATGACAATATTTTGTATATAAAATTACATTCTGAACCTGGATGGTTTATTTTACAATCCTAAGTCAATTTCAATTAAAAATTTTATTATAGCTTTGTTTCGGTTTAAAGTAAGCAAAAAATTTAGTTAATTAGCTACATACATATGTGCTTACTTAATATTTATCTTTTACCCCGTAGCATAAATTTCAATTCTTCAAATTTACATTATCATTGCTTTGGAAATAAGAATGTTTTGAAATTGTAAATGGACTTAGACCACTTTCAAAATAAACCATCCATATTATATGTATTTTATTCACTATAAATACCCGCCATATTCACTGGGAGTTCGTTAGGATATCATCCAAAAATTTTCATTACTATACCTATTCGAAAACATTCATTTTTCACGAACATACTTAATTATGTCAGAAAATTTTCACACTATTTATTTGCAAATGTATGCAGTATGAATAAAAAAGTTTAAAAAAAAAAAATAATACACATTAAGGACAAGCTTATTTTAGCGTATTTTTATAACAATTGCATTATAATAGCTACCTAATAGGTAGGCATATCACATATGTAACATATTGTATATAGTTAATGAAAAATACATGTAAAATACAATGTGTGTAATAAAAAACCGAAGTATATTGTACATTATGTTACGTAATTACATATTCAAACAAATTTAAAAATCAATATTTTTGGAATTAAGTAAGAAGAGTATAATGTGTATTTTTTATAAATATTTAAATATTTTGAAAAAAATTACTTTAATTCCAGAAAATATAGGTACATACCTATATACTTTTAAAAGTATTTAAATTTTTTATAAAAATCAAACATAATCATATTCCATGTGTGTATTATAAAAAAAATACGCATAACGACAAGAAAACACAAAATTTTCTATAAAAAATTGTAAAACACAGACACAATAGTTTTTTTTTAATATTTGCTTAAATTTTTCTTCTTATTTAAGAGATTAAGATTAATAGTTTCTTCAAATTTTATGTGAAGATAATTTAACGTGTCGTCCAACCTTGACTTCAACGTGGAACTTTGTATTTTTATATGGTAATTATGTGAATAGAATATTTTACTCTGAGTTTATTTTTTTCCTTTTTTTTTTTGGTATTACTTTGGAAATATAATGCTTTTGTGAAAATGTGATGAACAAACAATATTCGTACTGTGTTTTCTTCTTTTTATGTAATCTAATTTGAACACTTGTTATGCAACGTTGAAAATTTTCTTTTTTGACATAAGTTTAAATTTTAAAATGAAAATATTAAATATAAAATTTTTTTTTTTTTCTTTTTTGACATTTTTAAGGTTCGTAAATATTGGATTGACCCATTATTTCTAATTTTTTCATTCTTTTTATAGAATAAAAAAAAAAAGAAAAAAATAGGGGCAAAAAACTTGATCAAATTGCTTCTTTGCTTTTTATGATAAGGAATTTAATACACAATTATTTCTTGTAACAAACCTGCGCATCCTGTAATTTATTGGCAGTGAAACGAATTAATGCCATTTTCCCACTAATAAGATAATTTTAAAGCACAGAATTTAATATTTAAATAAAAGGAAATCAAACCGGCACAACACAACCCAACTTCACGTTCGCTAGTTGTCTACCAAAAGAGAACTGCTGAGTTTTTGAGGTAGTCAACAATTATTTGAGTGTGAGTGCTACGTTTTTGACGTTTCTTTTTTATACATTATATTACCATATTTATTAGAAAGTAGTGATTTTACTTTCTTTTTTTTTATATTTTGTATTTAAAGATACCATAATTATAATAAAAATTATGGATTCGCATTTTTTCACAAGATTTTACAAGACTTTTCACAAGATTATAAAATATTTTTGATGTTCTTAAAGAATTTATAAATATTAATTTTAATTCCTGCTAATAAATTTAAAATAATTCCATGATTCTAGATACTTATATAGTTTCTTGTTTGAGGAGATAGTTTTATGTTAGTATAATTCTGGATTTAATATTGCCATTTTTTTGAATGTGTAAGTACAAAATAGGAGTTATGAATATATTTTGAGCGAATAACAATTTTTTGGCATTTTTTTTTTTTTAACAATAATAAGTAATATTTTAGTAAAGTAATATCTTTTTTGTTTTAAGTTTTTATTTTTTTTTAAGTTTTACTAAACACTGAAAGATCACGTCTTTTAAATGAAAAGACAAAATATGATGTTCCTGCGAAAGATTTAAATTTTAAATTGTCATGTTAAGTAATTGTGATTGATGAAATAATTATCTCCAATAGATAAAAATTAAATAAATTTTTAACAATTAAACAAAAAAAAATATGAAATTTGCAAAAAATTCAAATTTTCTGGAAATGAAGTCATACTTTTCTTGTATAAAAAAAAAAAAATAAAAAAAATAAAAATTTACAGAACTCCTCTATCTGATAACAAAACCTAATATTTTTTAAAAACAGAATTTTGAGCTTGTTGTGAATTTCTCAAAATTTTTATAGATTTATTTGGTTATAGGAACTTACTTCTGAAATTTAAAAAAAAAATTTGGCGTTGTCAAAATTATTTCAATGACTACAAAATCAACGTAGAAAATATAGGTTTTCATAAGTAAGTTTTGTTTATTTGCTGTCAAAGATGTAGTTCAGAGTTAGATTAAGGCTTGTATGCCTTACATACAAGGCATAAAGTATGTATTATGAATGTAAAATATAAAATATGCATTAATATGTAAGATAATAATATACAAATTTTGTAATTCAAATCAATTATTAATTTGTAATAAATCGCGAAAATTAAATTATATACACAAAAAATAAATTATATCACATGTTATGTATTTCAAATTTAAATTATGTTTTGAGCATAAAGACCTGATAAAAAGACAGAAATGCCTGCCCTGTTAATCCTGAACGTTGCTAAAATTATCATATTTTTGACAGCTGTTATATTCTCTGCATAATAATATCTAATATTTACCTATTCTTTATTGGAACAATAAATCTATACATATGTATTTATATTTCTTAGGATTTGGTGCAAAGATTTTTATTTATCAAATATGATGATAACTGTACATTTTTTGATAATGAAGAATAGGGCAGTAGTGAAAGCTATATTGAGAAAAATATAAACAAGGGTAAGTTGCGCAGATTTGTTTGGCATACGTCAAATCTATTGAAACTACTAAGGGTTAATTTAGTATAAATATTTTTTCAAATTTGAACATTACTTTAAAATATATATTTGTAGGTTTGTAAAACATTTCGAACTAAAAAGAGGGAAGGTTAATTACTTTATCTGAAACTCAGCACAAATTTAAAATCACAAATAGGATCTTTGATCTATCACCACTAATTAAAATATGGTGTGACTAAATTTTTTGCTAAATATAGTTAGCAAGGTATGAGCGCTACTTTTGGACTAGCACAGCCAATGATGCATACTGTGTTTTCAAGGGTTATTTTTGAAAATTGCATAATTAGATAAAAATTAAATCCAACAAGATGAAAAGGGGCAATATCGGGTAAATTTTTTTAAAACAACTGATTTCTTGAAGATATGGTTCCTTGACGGTACACATATTAGGATAGTTGCATCCAATCAACCAAATACACGGCATCAAAATTTGAACAAAAAAAAATGTTCTCATTGCATGTAAAGGAAAACTGTATAGAAGACTATAGGTGTGCTAAAGTCTAAATTTTACTGTTCAACAGAGGCAAAAATTTGCATAAATTGTGGACCTGTGTAAAACGTTTTTAAACAAATATCAAGTATTATTGTATTAATCAGGATCCTTAATTAAAAAAAATTCTATCGAAGCAATGTTATGAATTATAATAGGTATGTATACAATAAACCTGAAACTATTTAAGTTTTGATAATAAAATTATACCAAAACAGTTTATTTTAAATTTGTTTCTTTTTATAAATAAAAATTCCAGCGGATTAAGAATAAATTTACGTAATGACAGCAAAAATAAAATCTTATTTCATCAAAATTTATTTTAAATCCATCTATAATCTAACTTTTAAGACAATAAATACAGTATTTCAGTCTAGTAAATCATTTTGTGATTTTTATTTTAAAATTGATATTTGAATGATTACAAGAGATAATGTTTTCATTGATTCTTTTTATGATTTAATACTTTTATTTTTAGTATGGAAACAGAAAGTTACGATTACAATACAAAAGAACACTAAGTTAATAGTTCATACGACTAATAATAAAATTATAAAAATGTTTCGTGCCTTCGATTTTAATTTTCACGTTCATTGTAAAAAAAAGCTTCGCTTTTGTAGTAGTGTTGTATTTTATTAAAATAACTTTTATGGTCTTCTCTTAAATTTCTAATATACTTGTTTTGAGTAAAAGTCGTGACAAGAGTCCTAAATTTAAATTTAATTTACTTTTCTTTTTTTATTTTAAATTACTGATCCATTGCTTCTCCTTGACTAACATCATCAACATCCATGCCTGCTATTTCTAATTTATCATCAATTTTAGCTGGTGGTACATCATCAGTTGCCATTTCATTTGAGTCTGCTGTTTGCATTTCAACACAAGGAGTTGTCTCTGCTGCTGTCGTTTCAATATCGACAGGGTTATCAGAAATTGAAGGATCTTCCATAGGTTGATCAGCCGTCACTTGTGTGTCCGTAATTGGGGTAGATTCAATTTCTGGAATTGGTTCTGGAATTTCTTGAGTATCAGTAGTTGTTAAAACTTCAGTTCTTGGAATTTCTTCTTCAATTTTCTTAACTGCATCCGTTGTTTCTTGAATATTAGATTCTTCTACAGCCATTTCTTCTGTTTGCTTTTGTTTATGCTCTTCAACTATATGCTCTTTAGCATTATTAGAAATAGTCTCACTTTTTTCTTCGACCTCGTTTATCTTTTCCAAAATTTGTTCTGCATTAACTTGAATATTTGCTTCAGATTCCGATGGTTGCAAGGATTTTTTGTCTCCCTCAGAAGGATCTATCACATCATCCGTGCTAAATAATTCAATTTTTTTTTCTTCGTCTTGTTCACAAGTTTTTGAATCCGATACATTCTTATCTACATCGTTTTTAGTTTCAGGAGAGGGTGAAGCTTCTTCAGGAGGTTTTGGTTTACTATCTTCCAAAGGAATTTCCTCCTGCTTTTCGGATACGTTTTCATCTGTTGTTGGTGCAACATCAGTGGTTTTAACAGTAGGTTCATCATCTACATTTAACAATTTATCTTCTTCTTCTTGTGTAGGCTCATCAGTCTTTTTTATTTCATTATTAGATGATTTGGTATCGCCCAAATCCTCTTTTTCTATACCTTCGTCCCCGTTTTCTTCGTTAATGTTTTCTTCCTTGCTTTCCTCTTTCTGGTTGTCTTTTGAGTTGGTTTCAATAGACTCAGATTCAGTTTTTTCGCAAGATTTCACAGCTTGGATCTCTCTAGGTGAACCATCAAGGTCATCGTTTTTATCTTGATCCATTTCTTTTTTATCGTCTTTTGTTGTTGATGAAATCACATCATCTTCAGTTTTATCACTATCTTTTTCAGTAACACTTTCATCATTTATTTTGTCACCGTCTTTATTTACCTCATTCTGGAGAGCTTTTTCTTCTTTCATTTCCAACTTTAGTTTTTTTGCTGTAGGCAATTCGACGTCATCATGTGTCTTATTATTCTCTGCTTCGGATTTGTTGTTAATTGTTGCAGTAGTAGTTCCATTAGACCCATTTTGCTTGGAATTTTCAACGTTGAAGATATTTTCGTTTTCCATTTCAATATCAACGTTAACATCTAAAGAAATGACTACTGAGTCTAGAGAGTCACCATTTTCACTTTCGGGCTGTTTTCGGCCGGGCTCTATGGTGCTAACCACTAAAGAAAGGAGAAAATAAAAAAAAAATTATTGGAATGTAAATTTTTCTTTTGATTTTTTTTTCATAAAAACCGAGATGAAAAAGATTGTTAAAAAATTTTTACATACATCACGTATAATACATGTTAGGTATACCTTTATATATACCCACCTACCGGTATGAACACAGAAAAAGGAAAAGAAAGGAAAGAAAAAAAAAAAACAAGATGGCTACATCGAGAAAATTTTTGCTTTCACCATTTTAAAAAAGAACAAAAGTAAAAAATTAAGGTTTTTATAATTATAATTTCGACTTACCAAGAATATTTTTTTCTAAAGCCCTCATATATTTGTCTATGCGACTATATTGTTTTTTAGGGTTTGTAAGAAGCTCACATATTCTTTGTATTGTAAATGGGGCCGAATTGAAAAGCTCCAAACGCTCCAAAAGTGCAGTTTTCATAGTCTCATAGTTAAAAGGATCAACATTAGGATATTGAGGTAAATCTGGAAAATATTGAATAAATAAATGTTTTAAACTTATAATTTTTACATTTTTACCATCTACGTTAGATGTAGAATCATGGAAGTCTTTAATTACGTGTATTAGTTTTTCGCGAAATAAATATTTTATATTGGCCCAAGTGAATACGGTATCCCCAGTTTTTGCAACATAAGCAAGCTGAAATGTTAAAAATTAAAATTTAAATATATAGTTTAATGAAAAAACAGGATTCATGATTTTCGGCATTTTCATATAATTACTTACATATTCATCTAATTCTTTCGGTATATCCTTTTGTTTTAATTTTGTAAATCTTTCTAATATTTGAAGAACTTCTTCTGCATTTTCCATTTTTATTCCTGTTAAATATTAAACTTTTTAACTAGAAATATAAAATTGATACGACGATGATGAACCAACCGGTTTAATGAATGAAACGCTCCACAAAGTATTTAGTTTGGGTAAAAGTAGACAAGTACAAAATTTTAGTGCTGCCGATGTCATCCAAAGTGTTTACAACTGATAATATGTCAATTTCAAGTTAAAGATGCGTATTATAAATTTTTTTTTTAAACTTTTTGCATTGAGCAAATAGTCTCAACAAAATGAGATAGTAATAAATATTTTAACAAATCAAGCTAAATGAATAAATTTTTAGGTTCTTAAAAATTTATTTTATAAAGTTTTTATTGACGTTCGAAAGAACCAGTGACGTTTCACTTTAAACGTCATATTTTTTGGATTTTTGCCAAAATTATAAATAACATAAGTATGTGTATTAATTTCAATCATTGAGAATTCTAATCGAATATTTAAAAGAATTGTTTGTAAGCGTTTTTTACGATAAAACATGTTGAGATAATTTTTCATTATCACTCCAGCTTACTTCAAAAAGAGTGTGCATGAAGTTAGTAAACAGATGCAGCAAAATCTCATTTATTTTTAAATATTTTTTATAACTACTGCAACAATATTATAAATTAGAAGAGGAGCAGAATATATAAATGTTGGATATTGAAGATTATCGAGAATCATTAGAATATGTTACAAATCAAAAATAAAATATTTAGTTTCTACAAACTTGTAAGTATTTGTGAAAAAACTTGAGATTAAATTAAGAATTTTCAGTGTATATCTGAAATATGGAAAATCATACAAAATATTGCATTCCAATTATTTTAAATAATTTTTTCCAATTAATGTATTTTACAACGGTTTTATTCAATATTATTTCTACATTCTACAGAAACACATTTAAATGATTGAAAATGGACTACATGTGTATGTATGCATGTAAATAATTACTTTTTTCAATTAGTTTTAGTTTTGGTGTATCTTTCCGCAAATGACAGATATTGCGTTTGATTTGGCGAAATCGTTAATCATCAATGAAGAGACAAATAGTAAAGTTTCTTTAATTAAGAACTAAGCTTTATCTTAAAAGTTTGCATTTAAAAACAAATAGCAGAGTGATAAATAAGTCAATTTTTTCAAAATACACAAAAAATAATTGTGTTATATTAAATTATAAAAGTCTTATCGGATTTTTTAGGTAAGTAAAATTAGAACATTTAAAAATATTGATGTACTAATTTTTTTAAAAAATATATTGAATAAGTTTTTCAAATCTCTTAATTAAAAGTTCCAAAATCGGAAAATCGACCGCATATCTAAATTAAAATTGGATTACACTCTTGTAATAACATAAGTGTTGCCTATGAGTGATATAAAGTGTTACCAAGGAATAACTAATTAAAAAAGATAACGATAGATGGTATGTATGAGCATGGCATTTATATTTGCAAGTTTTTTTTAGTACCCATAATTTTTTTAGAAAATTACAAATAATTAAAGAAGCATTTTATGTACAGTAAAGAGATCTAAAATTCTTTAAGGACTCTAAAGAAATTGCAAGTAATTTGGGAGAATATGTTACACAGAAGAAGAATCTCTAGAATAAATATTTTCTTTTTAAATTATTTAAATTTGAAGCGGGCTGTTAAGTCAAATCGTATACAAAAAATTTTTCTTAATAGAATTCCGGTTTTAATATATTTACGGTTTGTTGCGTTGAGTATAAAACATCATGATGAATTTGGAGATATACACATTTTAAACATATTTAAGAACACAATGAGAAAAAACAAACTTTCTTAATTTTGGGTGAAAAATTAAATGACCACAAACAAGATACGTCTTCAATTTTATTTATGTATCTACTTGGAGGATTGTTCTGAACATCGTTTAAATAAATTAAAAACTATTATAACTATAGTTTTGTTCGCGCTAAAGCAGGTTTTTCACAAAGCAGACGGAGGAATAAAAGATAATTTATAAGAAATTTATTTAGGAGGAAGGAATTATTTTGTCCAAAATCATTATTGGTATTTACCCCATATAATCAAATGGAATCCAAAAAGGTATTCAGGTAAATATAATTTGCTTAATTTATAAATAATTTTAAACGAATTTACCCAATATGTCAGAATATGTAAATACAAAAAAATAGTGCATTAACCGTTATTTTTTGAAAGAATGTCAAGATTGTAATTCGTACAGTATTTTAATTTATTAATTAAATTAATTTATAATTAAATTTAAATTTAGTAAATGACATTTGTCAGAAAATAAAATAATTTTATATTTTTACTATATTAATAATTAGAAATGATATTATATTTTTAGTTTATTATCCATATCTAAAATACAAATTGATTTGCATTGTATCTACCGTTTTATAGAAACGGTGTATTTTTAAGATCTGAAATACAATCAAAGCTCTAAAGATACGTGCCAATGATCAAATGTAATGTACATGTGTATAGTAAGGTAGCTATAGATATTAAAAATGTAGATAGGTGTACAATATTTTTACGTTTACGATGTATATCAATATATAAGAAGATACCTAAAATATTATGTATATAAATATGTTATGTACATATATTATATAAAATTTTATTATATTATAATATGCAGATGAAAAATTGTATTTTGTTATTTATATATGCATGAATATATTTTGTAAACTGTATAGTATGTTTGTCATTATATAGAAATACTAACATAGTATAGTATAAAAAAAACTATTTACATACTTATGTATATAGAAATCTTAAAATCACAATATAGAATCGTATATGGACCATGTTTTTTTTTTTTTGAATAGGATGAGTTATTATAAAGTACCGCTGACTATTCTGTACGTATATACTAATGCATTCAATTTCATTGTACCCTCATTTTTTTTTTTTTTATATATACATATTTTCATACAATTGTAATCGTATGAAGCTAAACAATAAAAAAAAAAACTAACTTAGTATTGGATACGAAATTTTGTATTTTTTTTTATATTAAAACTTAGTTCGCTAGTGGCTACCGACCGATCATAAACATGGAAGATTATTGGGGTTTGAGTAGAACAAATGGTACATAATACAAAAAAAAAGTTATTTTTTTTTCTTCTCATTTTTATGTTTTTAAATAGATTAACAAAAACTAATTTTTATTTTGTTCGTAGTTATTTTTTGTAAAATTTATGAATATAAATGATTTAATTAAAGTGTGATTAAGTATAGTAACAATTGAAAAGAGTAATATTAGCTTTTTTAAAGAATAAAAAAAAGGAAAATTATAAAATAATCATGACGCACAACGGTAAAATTTCAATCAATTAAAGAAACGTTTACATAACCAATAAGAAAAAAAAAAATAAAAATATAAAAATAAAAAGCTTCTTGAATTTCATTTAATTAAAATGCTAATGAAAGTGTGTCTTAAATAATTAAAAGAAAAAAAAACAGATTTATTAAATTTACGGGTCTTTTTATATTATTATAAAATAAAAGAATAATAGTATATCGTACAAAAAATTATATAGTAAAAATAATTATTTAAAATAATAGATAAACAGTAGGAATTGTAACAGTTGGATTTGTAATTTACATATTATATTTTATGAATCTGGATATAAGACCAATTAATTTAATTAAAATTATAATCAATTTATAAAAAATTAACTATAATTATTATTACAGGTACCTATTTCAATAAGATACCTGCATTTAATAATTAGACTAATAGTCCTCCTCTATCTATTTGAAAAATGCGGATATCAAAACATATATGTATATACATATCTATAATTAAAAGTGCAAACATAATAAGCAGTAGAATTTATAGAAGTGAAAAATTGTGAAAAAATAATAACATAATTTGAAAAATCAAATAATTTAAATACAATTACAAAAAAAAAAGATAAAAAATGAAACAAATTTAGAGCTATAAAAAAAGATAATTATAATGACAAACATCATTTTCCTTTTTTCATTATTATTATTTTTTATATTTTTCTATTTTGTTTTTTTTTTTTTTGGGATATACAATATTATAATAATGTATTTTTTGTAATTTAATAATAAAGTGTTTCTTTCAATAAAATAAATATATATACAAAAATTTTTTTATATTAAAATTAATAAAATAAAATAAAATTATCAAGAAAATTATCAGTGGCGAATGAAAATTTAAAATATATATATATATACATATATATAAACCTAAAACTCTTAGAGAAGTTTATTTTTTATATAATATTTTTTTATTATTATGGATGTTATATAACATATATTATGTACATAATATAATATTGATATTGATTTTTGTTTTTAAAACTATATATTTAATATGTGTGGTGATCTTTTTTAATTGTATTTATGATTTTTTAGTAAAAATAATATATTAATATTAGAATACATATAATTAGATATTCATAATTAGATATCCTATATAAATTCTCATTAAAATTATTAACTATTAGTTGACTTTATTAGTAAAATTAATTTACTTAGTTTAGAATCTAGATGAATATTATTTACTATCATTTATAACGAATAGGAAAAATAAAAACGCTCCAATATAACGAATAGATAAATTTTTTGAATTAAGTTGACTTTAGGCTCTAATTATCTAGCAATGTCCGTTACATTTTCCATTATTTAATTTTATTACACATATGTATTCATATTTTATTTATGTTTTAAAAATTTTCGATTAAGTTTTTTCTGCAGTTGGTGCAGCTTTTTTTCCGTAGAATGGCATATAGCGTCTTAATATAAAAGAAAAGTTGACTTATAATTTCAAAAATAAATGAATATTAATTTTTTGTTACATACATATATGAATTAAAAATTAACACAATTTTAACTTTATTTTAGTAAATATGATCTTATTTTAAATATGATCTACGACATTGACATTATGTCGTTCATTATATTGGAACATCACTGCATAATTTATTATAATATTAATGGTTTCATTTTTTTGAAAACATTTGAATAAAATCTTATAAAAATTATAATTAAATTTGTATTTAGTAATTAGTTATTTTTATTCAAATAATTTTTTGTTTTTTGTTTTAGAAAATTTATTTCTTACTTATTTTGTCTTCATAATCCATAATATTTGATGGTACACCTTTTAATTAGTAATTATTATAATAGTATAACAATTTTATTATCACATCAGCTACATCACTGATATTATAAAATATTTTTATTTTCTACAACTTTTTTTTATATATATATATTTTCAAATTACAATAAAAGCTTAGGTTTTATTTAGATATCTTTTTCACCAAATTGAAGGAATAAAATAAAAATATTGAATAATATGAGTATTTCAAGATAATATAAAATATATATTATATATAATATATAAGTATAAATATGTATTTTTACAATATATAAGTGTAAAATTTATAAACATACATGCATATGTACATTGGTACAAACATTATTTTATACAATCTTCAGATATATTTGAACATCTTTCACTTGTATTTAGGTATCATGCATACATCATAATATAAAAAAATATCATTATTAAAATCAGTTTAAGAAAAATGATCACTATAAGAAGTTCAAAAATGCAAAAAAAAAAAAAAATGAAAAAAATAAAAAAAAAAAGTATTTTTTTGATTATTAAATTAAAGTGAACTAAATTGTCGTTGGGATTAATATAAAGTTACTTTATTCATATTTTTTTTACAAATAAACGTACATTTGTATATGTACATTTATTCAATAAATACATAATATATAATATAGGCATATAATATCACTATCATACAATATATAAGAAATATATAAGATATGTTACGCAAAAATGTCCAATTTTCTTAATCAGAATGTACGTATTTATATATACATAATATATATATATATATATATATATATATATATATATATATAAATATATAATGTATATATTGTACAAAGTTTTAAGATATTAAAATATAAATAAGAAAATTTTTTTAAATTACTTATGAAAAGAATCATATTAAAATTGTTTGCTTGCTTTTGATTTTTTTATATTTTTTTAATTTTTTCATTTTTTTTTTTTTTTGAACAGTTTATGATAAATAAATTTTAAAATATATTCAAGGGAAATGGTGTATGTATATAGTATTTTTTCTTAGATAGAGAAATTTAATACGTTCTTCATCAAAAAATATATACAATATATCAGATCGATCTTCCAGACACAATTTTTTAGGGATAAATTAAGTTTTGAAAAATTACATATAAAACTGTTAAAATTACATATTTAAATTGTTATATGATTTGTAATGTAAATTTACCGAAAAATATTGCATTTTTATAAAAATATAGGTTGATTTATTTTTAAATTTTTGTTTTAGCGAATTATGCGAAAGCATTTTGAACATTAATTTTAATTTAATTATTTCTTACATTAATTTACAAATGCAAAAACTGTTTTATACAAAATTTTAAGCGATACAAAATTTGTTTTTAAAAATCCACTTTTAGTATTTAAATTTAAATTGTATTTGCATATTGGAATTGCAGGTAAAAGCATTGCGTTATAGTATTTTCGTTCTCTATATTCCTGAAATTGTAAAAAAATTATTTATTACCATAAAAAATACTTACAAAAAACAAGAAAAAAACATTAATACTTATAATGGTTGTAGATTTTCAATGTTGTTATTCATTCTAAGTTAAAAATCTGAAAAATTATAATTACTATTGTAGATCTTCAATCCATTCTAATTTAAAAATCTAGTAACTGAAACAAAAAATTTGGATGTTGCTTAAATTTTCTAAAAAAAATTTTGTTTGCTGGTATCTTTATTTTATTAGTAGAGTTTTCTATTGTAGTTCTAGATGTTTAAATACCTAGCTTTGCAGCAGTTCCTATTAAACATTATATGTTATTTATCTAAGTTAAAGAATAACTTGTTTTAAAAATATCTTTTCCATTTGTAATTATTTTTATTACATTTATTAATTTTATTAATAATTATTAATTGTGAACGCAAATAAAATATTAATAATTTAATTAACATTTTCTTTGCGTTCACGTTTGATTTTATTTTAGTGGATTAAACTCTATAATGATAAATCTTTATTTATTAGAATTAAAATTTCCGACTGCAGCAATTATGTTACGCGAAATTCTTAATTGCTATAAATAATTATTAATTCGAATATTTATTTATCTTGAATATTTAAGAATCTATAAATTAATTTTATTCATATCTCTAAATCAAATTTTGTAGCTTTTAATTTTTTTGACCACACGTTTACAATTTTCTCTCTACATTGTATACATGTTTTATTGAAATTTTATGATAAATTTAAAGAAATTTATATCAAAATTAATATATTTAATTAAAAAAATAACGTATATTTATAAAATATATGTATATAGATTTATAATAATTTAAAATATGGTTTTTTTCACGTTTTAGAAAAATTGATGTTAAAAAATTTATTGCATGATATTAATCAAATAATTTTCAGTTTGTTTTATTAAAATATTTACATTTGTTTTTATACAAGATTTATATCAGCTATTATTTAATTTTAAAATTTTTATCTGTTTTTTAGTTTTTGGTATCTTTATGTTGAACAAAGTAAGGGAGATAATTGATATTTTACGTTTAGAATGCTATAATTTCTAATTATATAATTTTGCAGTAAAAGCATTTTTCATTGAAGAAATTTAAAAATAAGCATCTTAATTTCTCTTGTATGATAATCAATACTTTTCCATTATTTTCAATAAAATTAATTGTCATTTTATCTGGATAGTGTTCGTATACACTAGGGGTTAAAAGGATTAACTACGGATGGATACAAATTTTACTATTGATGGAAACATAAATAAAGTGCATTACGTACTTTAAGATTTATATTATAAAATTAATTAACACTAATCATTATACCCTTAATTAAATTATATATTTTTAATAATTTTCTAAATGATTAAATATCCTAAATTATTACAGATCAACGCCAATATATTCTTAAATTTACACTAAATAATAATAGAAATTTATTTATGTACGTTTGTATTGACAACAATATATATAAAAAGTGAATATTTAACAATAACATTTTTCTTGTAATTAATAATCTGATATAGAAGTAATTTAGTAATTGTATGCATTAAATAATTAAAAGATTAGCGTGTATTTAAAAATTATACACGTAAAATGTGTATACATAAATAATGTACAAATGAAAATTTATTTGTTTTTTGTTTTAATATTTTCATTTTTATTTTTTTAATTTCGGAAGTTTGTGTTTCATCAATCATTTTGCGTAAAATACAATTGTGGGATTTGACTT